ATTATCTTCTTTTCAAATATGAAAAAAATGTTAAGCCATCAAAAAAATCCCTAATTTACAGAAAAAAATAAGACTTCTAGGCTCCCAATACAAGTTTTCAAGGTAAAATTTCTCGTTCAAACAAAAAAAAGGCCCATTTTTTCACTTTTCAACTTTTTTTCAACAGAAGATCCTTCATTGAAACAGAAAAAAAGCCCAAATCTTTTAGATTTTTTCAAAAAAATCAGCTTTTTCTCTCAAGTAAAAATTGAAAAACCCCCCCTTTTTTCAGCTTATTCACTTCAATAAAACTAAAAAAACCGCATTTTTCAGATTTTTCCAGCAAATCAGCTTTTTTCTCCAGTAAAATTGAAAAAACCCTACTTTTTTCAGCTTATTCACTTGACTCCAACTAAAAAACCTCCATTTTCTCAACTTTCCAATTTTTTCAGATTCCTCGAGGAAAAATCAACCTTTTTACAACTAAAGTGTCCTCCCTAAAACTGAAAAATTCTCATTTTCTCCGATTTTTTAAGCGAAAATCAACCTTTTTCTTGAAAAATTCTCATTTTTTCCGCTTTTTCCTACACTAAATTTGAAAAATCCCCATTTTCCCCAACCCAACCTTTCATCCGAATCGGTCGTCGTGTGCAATTGTAACGTTAGATCGCCCAATTTTTGGAACGCGTGGCCCGCCGTCAAAAAAACTTCGGCGACCTGGGGAAAATCGTTAAAAATCATTAAAAATATACATAAAGGCTTGAAAACGATGGATTTTCCGATAGAAAAACAAGAAAATCTTACTTTACTCGCCAAATTTATTGGCGCAGGGACGTGTTGATCCAGAAGCAGGCCGTTTCCGCCGTGGTTCAACTAAAAATGATCTCCTTTCAGGAAAAAGTACTCAGTTTTTTTAATGATGCAAAACCGAAAAAATCTTTCCAGCCCCCTATTCTATTCATTTTTTGCACTACCATCCGAGACGGGCGGAACTGAACTTTAAAATGCGGAATTTCTCGGACGAAATTTACGTATTTTTTTCTTTTTAGATGGATTTTTCGGCAGTTAACGGGTGAAAAGAGATGACTGGACTGTAACAAATTGAAAAAAAAATCAAAGTATATTTAAAAAAATGGCTAGGGAAGAAATTATAAAAATTGGAATGGGAGAATAAAATAACAATAAAAATTCTGGCTAACTTTGATAGTTAAAAAAATTACAAAAAAACCTTTTTTTATAACTATCTTTTTCAATTTCATAATGGTTTTCAGCTATCTTCATCAGTTTTTCTCTTTTTTTAGTTTTTGTTATACGTTTGAAAAAAATGACGATTTTCGCCATTATTTTCAATTTTTTCTCTAGAAAAACCTCATGGAAAATTTTTCTCAATGATGAATAACCCGAAAAAAACACCTTTTACATTATAATTCGCAGTTTTTTGATGATTTCTCATCCTTTTTTGTCACTTCTCTCTCATTTCTTTGTCAGCAATCTGTACTTTCAATTATTTTTCAGCCCAATGCCATCAATTTTTCTTTTAAACGGATCCACCTCATGTTTATAACCAAAAAGCCCAAAAAAACACCCCTTTCAATGAAATTTCAGCATTTTCCCTCACTTCTCGTTGAAAAATTCGAATTTCATGCTAAATTTCCAGCAACTCTACCATTAATTTCTCATCCATTTTCTCTCATTTATTTTTCTGACTTTTGAAAATTCCGTTTTTATGAAAACTTATTGATTCTCTGCAACTTTATTCTGAACAAACCCCAGAAAAAATTACCAGCTCATTTTTGAAACCAAAAAGAGCAAAATAACATTTTTTTTGGCGGTTTTTTATTAATTTTTCAGCGATTTTCACTAAATTTATTCATGATGAAACATTTCTTTCGCAGTTTCAAAATGACGTTTTGCTCCTTTCTCTCAATTTTTTGAAATTATTCGTTCACTTTTGGAAAAACTGATTTGCGGTGATTTTCATCTCTATTTCTGCACTTAAAAACGTTGTATTTCGATGAAATTTCAGCATTTTTCATCCATTTTCCCTCATTTCTATTTGGACACTTATTAAAAATTTGTTTGCTTCTACAAAAAAATCTACCGTTAATTTCTCAATGATTCTCATCAATTTTCCCTCCCTAACGAACCCCAGCGAGAGCTCCGCCGACGGCGCCCCTCTGGTACTGTTGGAAGGTGTTGACGGAGGTCGAGGGGACCGAAAGAGGTCCGGAAGAGGTGCCGGCGGACGAGGAGGAGGGTCCGGCCACCGTGCCGGGGAAGTCATCCAGCGGCTCTTCTTTCGACGTCAGCGGCGCCGCGTCGTTGATCTTGCGGATGGAGACGGGCTGCGGCATCGCTCGCAGCGGCATCGCCATCGGTCGCAGCTGAAACTTGGCCTATTGAGGGCATTGGGTTGCAAAATTAGTTCAGTAAAAGTTCACGGCTAGCTTGGGCGTGGCCTGTCTGCGCTCTCCACCTACAGTATACTATCTCTTTTCTAATCGTGTCAGGACCTTTTTTCAATGACTCAAGCCGTGAGTCAGCTATACATCCAAATTATTCAAAACGTTAAAGTCGAAATTTGATAGTTTGACCATATATTTTATTCCGGGTCAGCTTTTGACATTTTTTATTTTTTTCCTCTCCACAGAACCATTCTCTTCAATACGCGCTGCTTGCCTCTGTGTATGCGCCTTTAATTAGGTCTACACTTTTCATTATAATCGCGCGCGGCCTACCCATATCCATGTGCCTTGAATTGAGCTTAAAAATAACCTTTATAAAACATTTTTCTTCGAAAACCGCGGCTTGTCTCTTCACATGCGCCTTTAATAACATCTTTATGTTCGCGAGCAACCTATCTCTATGTATGCGCCTTTAAAATAGCCTAAAAATTTTCATTATACAAATGCCCTTTTTTCGAAACTTGTGGCCTGTCTCTTTGTATGCGCCCTTAATAATGCCGAGAAGTATACTGTCATTTTCGCGCGCGCTGCTGGTCCGTGTCGTCATGCGATTTTATTTTAGCCCAAAAATATTCCGTTGTTTTCGCTGGCAGCCGCTTATCTCTGTATGCGCCTATAAAACAACCAAAAATTTGTCATTATAAAGAAGCCCTTCTTTCGATACTCGTGGCCTGTCTCTTTGTATGCGCCTTTAATAACGCCAAAAAATCGTTTGAAAATATGTTTGCGTGCAACCTCTCTCCATGTATGCGCCTTTAAGTAGGATAAAAATAGCCGTTTTATACCCGCGCGGCCAGTCTCTGTGCATGCGCCTTCAAAACTGCCAAAAAAGGCCCTCATGTCCTATTCACGACTAGCTTGAGACGCTAAGTGGAGCTGATTTGTCTGCGCTCTCCTCCAATCAAGCACTCTCTCTGTTTTTTTTTTTCGTGTCAGGACCTTCTCTCAATAGCTCGAGCCAGGCGTGAATCTACTATAAAGTCGCGCGCGGTCAGTATCTGTGCGTGCGCCTTTAATAAGGCCAAAAAATGTTGTTATATTAAAGGCGCATGCCCGGAGAAAGGCTGCGTCTCTCGAAGGGAAGAGTTCTGTAGCTTGGGGGAAAGAAATCGTGACAAGAATTGAAAGCAAAACTTTGAATTATGAGCTTAAAAAGGGGACATTTTTTTATCTTGAAATAATAAATATAATTTCAATATTTCACCCAATTTTTCCTTCTGAGTTACCTGTTGTTGGGGAGGATTCGAAGTGGAGATGGTGACTGTGTTGGCCGCATGAGGCGGCGCATCGTGGACGCCAAAACTTCTTGACATCGGATGAAGGGCCGAAAGATTTCCCGATTCTTCTCTTCTTTCTTCTTTTTTCTGAAGGAAGGAAAATGAGAAAAAATATTATGACATGCTGGAATGTTTAGAAGACACGGAAAAAAGGAAAATAAAATAAAACGAGTTGAGACATTGAAAAGAATGAAAAAAAAAGGAAGATTAGTGTAAAAAATAAAATTTTCACATGATTCAAGTTGAGAATTCCAATCAAATTTCATTAAAAAAGGCCAAAATTTTCCCTATTCTCATGAAAAATAATACAATTAAAAAAATTCATAAGAAGGAAAAAGAGGGAGATTCGGAAATAAAAATAAAGAGAATTGAGAAACTGAAAAGAACGAAAAAAGGAAGATTATTGTAAAAAAATACAGTTTTTTTACGATACTTGATTGAAAAATTCCTATGACGGTACATCAAATAGAAAAAAACCGAAATATTTTTCCGGTTCATCTCATTTTTTTCTTCAAAAAAATAAAAAAATTAACTGAAAAAGAAAAAAAGAAAAAAATGTAAAAAAATACAATTTTTCTCAAGATTTGAATTAAAAAAATTCCTATCAAGATACATCAAATAAAGGGCCAAAAAAGAAAATTAATACAATTAAAAAAATTATAAGAAGAAAAAAAGAGGAAAATTCGGCATGAAACATAAATCTTTCACAAGATTGGAACTGCAAATTCGCCAAAAATTCGAAAAACTGCTTAAAATTGAGAAAAAAAAGTTTCCAAGCATCAAACCCTACATAGAAAAAAATAAAAGAACATTTTTTTGTGAAAAATCTGTGAAATATTACGAAATAATGTTGAGAAAATTCGAAAAAAATGTAAATTTCTCTGAAAAATTTCGAAAAAAACGGCTTCCAAAAAAAGGCTTTTAGGAAAAATATTTCGGTCATTTTTTTCGATGGAAAAACACAATTTTTTTCGTCATTTTTTTCAAACAAAAAAACACAAGGTTCAAAGATATTCAAATGCTCGGGGAACATTATAAAAAAACGAAAAAAAGTTTCAAAAAAAGCTATAAAAAAATTTATTATCATCATTAAAAACTTAGAAAAGGGAGAAGTAATCGATAAAACATACAGAACAAGAAAAACCCGCGATGAGAACGGAAAGCAAGGGAAAAAAAGGACAGGAAAAAAATACGTTTAAAAATCGACATTTTCGAATAAAAAAATAAACTAAAAATAAAGGGAAAAAAATCCACAGAATTTGGAAAAAAATATAATTATTTAATTGATATTTATTGAGCAGCTCCTCCTTCCGGTTGTTCGGGCGTCATGGCGTTCGAAATCAGCACGAAAAATCACGACCGGAACGATGTACATCCACTGGAAAAAAATTGAAATTCGATGAAAAAAACATGGAAAAAAACTTTTTTTCGACTCTTGAAAAAGTATTTCAAAGGTTTTTTTAAAATAAAAATTTTCAGCTGATAGCTAAATTTTCATAGCCTTGAAGCTTACAGGCTTGGAAAAATCGGTGAAAAAAATTCGAGTTTTGACTGAAAAAAATCGCAAAAAAATACACTGCATTTTGGTAAACTTTCTAGGAAAAAAACAGTGAAAATCAGATTTTCAAGCCTTTTTTTTCATTATTTCTTTGAGGTTTCTTCTCAATTTTTAAGTTTTAAAGAACATAAAAGAACTTTTTTCCCGTAAATCTGTGAAATATTACGAAATAGTTTTTAAAAGAGTTCGAAAAATGTCAATTTCTTTGAAAATTTCAAAAAACGGCCTTCAAAAAGGCTTTTAGGAAAATACTTAGGTCATTTTTCCGATGGAAAAACTTAAAATCTCCTTTTCCTCATTTTTCAAACAAAAACACAAGTTTCAAAAATATTCCAGTGCTCGGAGAACATTAAAAAAATTTTTTTCCCAAATAGTTGTGCATTTCCCAATTGAAATTTTTTTACCAAATTTACCAAATTGAAAAGGAGAATTTTTTTAAATTTAGGCAAGATTTTTTTAAAAATTATTACATAATCGTCAAGCAAAAACCAGTAAATTTTTAGATTTCAAAAAAATTTATATGTCTATATTTTCAATCAATTTTAAAAAGGAAATGATAGGATAAATGCTGAAAAATACGTCAATCAATAATTTTTTCTTAAAAAAATCGTCAGAAGTTTATTTTCTCTTTTTTTTGTTATAAGGTGGCCCTTAGGAAATATTTCATTTATTAAAAAATGAATCAACTTATCATGAAGTGACGATTTTTTCATTAAAATGCAAAAAATCATCCATGAGAACAGCTCAAACTCAACGAGATCCGATTTCTTGTGAAATTTTAAGACTAAAAGTTCATAATTGACCTTCCTAGAATCATTTAAAACCAATAAGATCCTCTTGAAAGTCCACTTTTCATTTTCAGGAAAACCCACATATTTAGCTAAGAAACTGCGGTTGTCTGTTTCTCCGCCGCCTTGTTGCTGTCGGGCTCTTCTCTCACGTTCCATCTTCTGGACGAATGACTGAGTGTCGGGGCTGAAAAACCTTTTTTTTTCACAATTTTCAAGGTCATTACTCTAATATTCATTCGAATTATTCAAAAAAGAATCATTTTTCTTCGCATCCGCTATATACAGAACCCTTCATTTAGAGTCATAATTTCATTTTTTGTTTAAAAACTCGTACAGAAAATTATTACTGTCTTCCCAAATTTTTCTCGAATAAATTACTCAGAAACTTTCTAGCTAATCTTTTTTTACTCGGAAAACTCAGTAACTCGGCAGAAAGTCACTAGATTTGGCAAGAACGCTTAAGTGATCCCTTCTATCTATTCCAACTAAATATGAGTAGCTACCTCCTTCTAAAACAAAATTTGAAAAACCGATGAATTTTGTTCTTAGAACCATTTTGAGCCACTTATCCCTACTTTTCACCTTTCTTTTGAAATTTTTCGTTTATTTCAAGAAAATTAAACGAAGAATCTCTTTTCGGATCATTTCTATTTTTCCAAGCGAGATAAACAAGGTCACTTAGGTGGTCCCTTGTCTTTATTTCAACTAAACATGAACGTCTTTTTCTTTCAACACAAAATTTGCAATACAAAAATCGGCAGAAGTAGTTCATAAAACCATTTTGAGGCACTTCAGTACATTCAAGCACCTTTTTTTCTTATTTTCGCATTAACTTGAAGAGATTTGAACTATGAAAATTCCCGCGGACCTCGGCAAAACGCCACTGGGAATAAAAATAACTAGATCAACAAGAACACTTCAGTGGTCCCTTCTACCTTTTTCAATCGCACAAGTTCCTTAATTAAAAGTGAGCCTCACCTTTCTTTCTACATTTCGCGTCAATTTCGAGCAAATTAAACAATAAATATCCTTCGAAAATAGCTCTAAAACCATTTCAAGGCAATTCTGTCCATTCACGACCATTAGAATTGAAAATAACTAAATTAACAAGGACACTTCAGTGGTCCCTTCCACCTTTTTCAACCGCACAAGTTTTTTAGAACCATTTTGAGGTACTCATCCCTAAATTTCACCTTTCTTTCTACATTTCGCGTCAATTTCGAGCAAATTAAACAATAAATGTTGTCCAAAACTAGTTCAAAAATCAAAATTGAGGCACTTCTGTTTATTCACGACCATTTTTCCTCAAATTCGCATCAAGATTTGAACTAGAAAAATCCCCCCGGACCTCGGCAAAACGCCACGAGCGTTGACATGGACGACTCCTTTGGCGACGCCGCCCTCGGCCCGGTCGGCCAACGACGGGATGAACTGCTCGAGGGCGTCGGAGCACGTCTCCGTGCTCAACCTCAGGGTGGCCCCTTCCTTCGACAAGGCAACTGTATCCGGATAAACGGCCAGGGACATCAGAGTACGGTGTTCGGCGTCGATCGAGACCCAGAACAGGTGGAAGAGCCGCGTTTGCAAAATGTTGCACTAAAAAAAGGTAACTTTTCAATAAAAAAATATAAATTGCGATCAATTTTTAGTTTTTCAAGTGCTAAAGCTCCATTTCGATACCAAAAAAACATCAAAATTTTCAGAAATATTGTAAAATTCTGTTTTGTGAGCGCAAAACGGGTGGAAGAGCCGCGTTTGCAGAATATTGCACTGGAAAAAAAGTTGGCTCTTTATTTTAAAAAAATAAATTTCGAACAATTTTCGGTTCGTCAAGTGCTATAGCTTCATTTCGTTGCTGAAAAATACATCAAATTGTTCAGAACTATTCGAAAAAAATTGTGTTTTTTTAGAAAAGAAAAAGCCACCGTTTAAAGGATTTTGCGCTGAAAAAAAGGAAACTTTTCATTGAAAAATAAATTTCAATCAATTTTTTTCGTTTTTAAGTCCTACAGCTTCATTTCGTTACAGAAAATTCACGAAATTGTTCGGAAATGTTATAAAATTATGTTTTTGAACGCAAAACGGGTGGAAGAGCCGCGTTTGCAAAATGTTGCACTAAAAAAGGTAACTTTTTCATTTAAAAAAATAAATTTCGATCAATTTCTAGTTTTTTTCAAGTGCTAAAGCTTCATTTCGATACCAAAAAAACATCAAAAATTTTCAGAAATATTGTAAAAATTCTGTTTTTTTGAGCGCAAAACGGGTGGAAGAGCCGCGTTTGCAGAATATTGCACTGGAAAAAAAGTTGGCTCTTTATTTTTAAAAAAATAAATTTCGAACAATTTTCGGTTCGTCAAGTGCTATAGCTTCATTTCGTTGCTGAAAAATACATCAAATTGTTCAGAAATATTCGAAAAAAATTGTGTTTTTAGAAAAAGAAAAGCCATTGTTTAAAGGATGTTGTACTGAAAAAAAGATTTTTTTCGGGATTTTTTTAAAAAAACGATATCGATCGACATTATTATCCCTCTATGCAAATACCTTATTTCCAATCAAAAAAATTCTGAGAATTTTATAAATTTTTAATAAAAATTGTGATTTTCGACAGGAAGGACCGCATTTTCTAGGCGTTGAATCAAAAAAATGTGCAAATAAATTATTTTTTTCAAGATTCGATCGACTAGAAATTGAATTTATCGTCTAAGGAGGACTGAATCTGGTTAGAAACATGAGAAAAAGACAAAAAAATTCCTGATAAAAAGTGAATTTTACAGTTGTTTTCCCTTCGGGCTTTTATACTATTCCAAACTTCTACCGGCATCATTTAACTTCAAAAAGCAAAAATTTTAACGCTTAGTGATAAAAAAAATTCAAAAAAATAAATTTTCCAAAAAAAGATCATGTACAATTTTCCGAAAAAAAAAAACAAGTTCAGCGTCTATAAATTTCAGAATAATCTTTTTTTTTAAATGTCTACAACTATACCCATAAATTTTGAATAAAAAAATTGAATAGAGCTTTAAAAATCTGAAAAAAATTAAAAATTAATTTCAACCAGTCAAACTCAGACATTACCTTGATTTCCTCAACCCCAAACCCATCTTTCACCAAAAATCTCACTTTAAACTTTCTTTTCTCTCAAAAACCAGTTTTCCGCGCTTTTCGCAGCAGGAGGTAAGTGCGCGCGGCGTTGACTCGACGGGCAAAGTCCTCTTGGCGCAGTGGCCAACAGTGTAATCTGCCACTGGAGGAGTCGCGGGTTCGAGCCCCCACAACAACAAATTCCAGTTGCGTTTTTCTAATGCAGTTGTGCCGACGTTGTGGGATACTTTCGCAGGTTTTTCGATCCTGGTACGAGCCTTTGCGTGTACCGGTTTGCACATTAACCTACATTTTTGCTTTTTCTCTCGTAGTTAAAGGGTAAACAATGGGATTTTGGCTAAAAACATTAGGAAAAAACCTTTTTTGCTACCTGTAATCTTGAAAAGTGCCAAAAATACCTATATTTTACAAAAAATCTTCCTGAATTATTTTTCAGCGTTGTCCTAGCTCACTCAGGACTCAAAATTTCCCTTTTTTTTTACCTCTTAGAACAAAAAAATTTAGATATTAAAACCAGTGAGAAAAAACCTGGAAACGGAATTTTTTTCTACTCGAGACTCTAAATATTCAGAAAAAAACTGCTTTTTCTTATAATTTCCCCTATTTTATACTTATAGAATATGTTTCCCTGTTTAAAAAAACCTCCAAAATTTTTTTAAAAAAATACTTATTATGAATATGAAGCTCAAAATGACAGTGGAAATAATATTTCTGAACATTTTTCTCATTGTAAAACCAACCGGCGTATTGCTGGTAATGAATGTCTTGCCAGGTTGCGTCGAAGAAACCGCCCGAACGCTATAAGTTTCGTCCAAAGCGTTCAATAACCTGAAAATTATCCATTTTTGTAATTTTTATCATCACATCCACTCACTTTTTCCCAAACTGCGAGTCCGTCGAAGATTTAAAATTTCCGGTAAAATTGCCCTCGAAATTGCGACGCAGTTCAATGGTACCGAGCGGATAGGTGTTTTTAAAATCTAAAAATGGAATCTTCCATTGAAATCTTTCGGGTTTCTTTACCATTAACAGAATATTCCAAATTTATTGTCCATTCTGCGGCTAAAGCAGAAGCTGCACATAGAAGAGCAATAGTTGCTTGTAACATTCTGAAATGCAAATGAAGCGAAAAAAAAAACTTATTTTCAAATAAAAATCGAATTAATTTGCTTCATGAACCTTTTATCAGCAGCTATAATCAAATAAATTTTTACTGGCGTTTGAAAAATCGAAATAAAAAAAGTGAAAAACTGAAAAAAATACGGTCCAATTTTCAAACCCTTAATACTTTGTTTAAAGCAACTTTTTCCCTATTCTAAGAAGTTTGGCATAATCTGGCTCCATCTTTCTACCTACTTATGCATGAAAAAAACACGGAATAACTTCAAAATTAAAAAAAGAAAACGAATAAAAAAAGAAACGTTGGAATTTCACCGAAAAATTTCGCGTCTGTTTTGTTCTCGCAGTAGAGCGCACATTCCCACATCACATTTTTTTCACAAATTTTTCTACTTTCTGTTTCAAAAAAACTTTTTTTATTTGTTTTTCTTGTTTTTTCTTGATTTTTTTCCTAATAAAACGCTGCTGAAAACTTAATAAGTAATTGGAGGAACGTCTCAAGTTGCATAGAAAGTTTGGATTTTGTTCATTTTCGATAGGAAAATCGTATTTCAGCCTCATTTTCATTTTTTGCTATAAACGTATTTTCACGTTGAATTAACTGCTTCTTTTAATTTTAACTTTTTGATTTCAAAATCAAGAGTTTGGAAGTAGCATTTTCTGATCTCTTGATGCATAATTTCAGTTTGTAGCCCTTTTTTCGTATAGTTACTTCACAATGCCCTTTTTCCGTATAGTTACTAATGAGATATTCGTTTTATTAGCAAAATTTTAGATGCAAAGGTCCTTGATTAATTTTCGAGTAGTCCCAAATTTGTTGGGGCGAGCCTCAACCCGCCGCGCATCTTCCACGACCACAGAAGTGTCAAAAACTTTAGATTTTGAGGATTTTCTGGAAGATATTACTGAAACTCCATCTGATCAGGTTCGAATCCCGTTTTTTGTATCAAATATAAGAAAAATTCAGAAACGTTCGTTTGCCAGTCTTCTCCGCCATTCAAAGTTCATGCAACTCGGCGATTTCGATGGACGTTTGGTAACTGGTTTGTTTTTTCTCTTTGAATGAAAAAAAAAATGGAATTTTTCAGGTAAAATCGTTCAACGGGTTCATGACGACTTGTACGTTGATTTCGGGTTGAAATTCAACGCAGTTTGTAAAGCGCCGGCCGTGAATTCAGAGTAGGTTATCACGCATGTTTGAGACAGAACTACGGCGGCCGGTGGCCGGTCAATATTGCGCAGTCAGTTTCGGAGCCAGGAAATTTTTTTAATTTTCTTTCTTTTTTCTGCAATTTGTTAGGGACCTATTTCTCGAGGTTACAAGGTGAGTTACGTCACAAAAAGTACACAATATTTCCTTTTATTATTGAAAAACCTATCCAAACTACCGTAATACGACCGGCCACCTTAAACAGGCATAATTATGTCATATTAATAAAAAAGGAAAGTAGTTTCGAAGATAATAACTAAAAACGATATTCAATAAAGTTCATTTTGTCTTTTTGCGTTACGGGAAGTACAAGGTCGGATTTTTTTGTTTGGTAAAACGACGAATTTTCGTGATTTAACCAATTCTAAGGTTTCAATCAACACCTCAAGCCAAAATGATAATTTTTTTTAAAAAGAAAATTAGAAGTAGAAATTTTGTGAAAAAGTAAAATTCAATAAATTGCATAGTTTTTCTTAGTTTTTAGTTTTTTTTTTTCGTTTTAGGTTGACGAAGGTTCCTTTTTGCTGCCTTTTTGCAGCCTCTTATCGACTTTTATGCACCAATTTTGCTGTCTCTTCACTTTTCCACCATTTCTTGAGCCTTTGAGGTTGCAGAAAAAATGGAAGACTCGAGAAAAGGACCCCTTTTGCTGCCTTTCTGCGGCCTTTTTTGAGCCTCTTTCTATTAGAAGCCATTATCCACCATTCCGGCTGTTCCCGAGTTGTTAGGACGTTTAGAGAAGCATAAAACGATTTTCAAAAGGGTCTCGATGCGAAAATTATACTAAAATTCCAGCGCTTACCGAAGCGGAGCACGAGTTCTGCTCCGGCTGCACGATCCGGAGCTCAGCGAGCGATTTTTGGGCTCCAAACATGATTTGACGTTACTCGAGGCCGACGCCACCTTGGTTCGATTCCTCGGAAATTCTGGCGGAGCTCCTCCTCAGCGCAAAGGTGATGTTGGATCAAGTTTTACATCATTTATCAGAGCTTTTATAGCTTTTCCAAGGAGAAATAGCGAAAATTCATAGAAAATATCGAAAAATCCATTTTAAAAACAAAAAAAGTCTTCTTTTTTTATTAAGAAAAATCAAGAAATCTGAGTTTTTTTCAACTTCTTTTTGCTTTTTAAGCTCAAAAAAAGCGCTGTTATTTTCTTAAAAATTCGCCAAACTTCATGAGAAAAACTTTCAAAAATTCAATAAAAATTACACAATAAACGTCTCAAAAATCCGTAAATACCTATGAGAAAAACTGAAAAAAATTCGTCAAAAATTCATAATAAATCTCTTAAAAAAATATAAAAAAATCCATAATAAAAAAACATGAAAATTTATCAAAAAAAGCATCAAAAATTTTTGTTAAGGTTCAATCAAAAGTCCACAGAAACGATATTTCTTCCGAATTTCCCGACCTAGTTTCTTGAGAAACAGAAAAAAAGAGATAAAACATGAGAACTTTCAAAATTTTTAACAAAAAGCTTCAAAAAAAAGTCAGTCAGGACTTTCCAGTTCCTTTTGACGTGGACCTCAGTAGCGCGAACCGGAAGATTTTGAAAATTTCAAGGGATTCCTTTAGAGGCGTCAGATTCCTTAAGTGATCTCTTGAAAGGCTCGGAAACGTCCCGGAAGCGTCGGGTTTCCATTACCGGGATCCAAGGAGTTTCAAGTTTTCGAAAAAAATTTTTGTTTGGCGCGAAAAAATCAAGTTTTCTCGTGTTAATCACACTTTATATTGATTTTCTATAATTCCCATTTTCAGGCGGTCGCCGGCCACAAAGAAGTCCAACTGAAAAACCGGCCGATGACGTCATTTCGACGGATTTGGAGGCGGGAAAAGAGAAAATTGACCCGAAAACCTCTTAGTCATTTTGTTTCATTATATTATTTTTTTTGTTAGATTTGTTGATTTTTGTAAATTTATGATAGGTGGAAATGAATTTCTCATTTTAAGCCGAGTTTCCAATAGTTTTTGTCGTTCGGAAAGCTTAGAAACGCCAGAGTGGCCTTTATAGGGCTTAGGGGAAAAACAGCCCTCTAGGGGACAAAGAAGTATTCCCTAGAGGGGTTTAGAGTCTAACCTTTGAGCTCTTAAAGCTTAAGTGGCCCCTATAGGGGTCCTTTTTTGGTTCAGATTTAAAAGTCAAGATGACTAATTCAATGAATAGAGTGGCCACTTCTGTAAGCTTTAGTGCCCCTATAAAGTGAGGTAAGTCCCTAGAGGGGAGCCTTCGAGCCCCCCAAAAAATGCCCCTCTAGGGACCACTCTGTCCCTCGAAAAAACTTCTCCCAACAGGCAAAAACTGCAAAAAAAAAAGGATATTTATCTAGCTTTTCAATTTTTCGCTTTTCTCTGGTTTCTCAACTTTCATTGTCGGACAGAGACGAAAAAATCAAGAATTTATTCGCGAAAACTACGAAAAAATATTTCGTTTAGATGTTGTTGAAATCTGAGCAGTTGAGGCCTTCCTTTTCTCTGAAAAATATCAGTTTTCTTCATTAAAAACAAAAAACTCAACTGAAAAAGTTGAAGAAGAATCGTCGATAGAATTTATTGGAAACGATCGTGAAAATCGAAGAGAACGCGCCGTGGGCGGTTATCAAAATGACCAAACAGGGCGAGACCCCTGAAGTGATCCCTTTGAAAAAGGCTTTTCTGACTCCTTACACTGCAAAAATGTGTTGGTGTTGACGAAAAAAGTGATAAAAATCAGGGGAACACAAATGAAAATCATCGGAATACTTGTCTGGAAAAATTTATAGCTTTTTTCTTTCTGAAGAACGCCAGAGTGGTCCCTATAGGGGGCTCTTGAAGGCCCCCCTCTAGGAACCACTTAACCTACCCTTATATGGGACTTTGAAGTTTGCAAGAGTGGCCACTCTAGGGGACGATGGCTTTTTTGACTTTCAAAGCATAAAAAAAGTTGAAAAACCACTGTAGGGGCCACTTAAGCTATAGGGGCTTAGAGATCAGAAAATAGAGCCCTTTAGGGACCACTTGAGCTTTTGGGGCTTAAAGGTCAGAAAACAGACCCCTTCAGGGACCACTTGAACTTTAAGGGCGGAGAGGTCAAAAAATAGAACCCTATAGGGACCACTTAAGCTTTAGGGACTTAGAGGTCAGAAAACAGACCCCTAAAGGGATCAACTAAATTTTTCCCTATAAGAAGCACCTATAGTGGGTGCTTTTCCCCTAACCCCTATAGGGACCACTCTGGCAATTCCCGAAAAACGGACTGTAACTGGTATAGCAAGTTTTCCGGCTTACCTGTCCGCATAAATTGTAGAAAAAGTACTTTTGCAGGTTCCTGGTTTTCGTGGACATGTGTCCACTTTGCTTTTGCAAAATGTAGATCCCATGGGAAAACCGGAAAATCAATTGCGGGATTATTACGATGGCCAGTCCGGCCAGGAAAAATGCGCTTTTCAGAGTCGTGTCCACGATAAAACCGGCTGAGGAGAAGATCCCATAGGGCTCGCATTGAAGAAGCTGAAATTTATTCAAAATGGAACTGTAAGATCGAAAAAGATTTTAAGTTCTTAGGAGCGCCAGAGTGGTCACTTGAGGTCTTAGGGGACAAAATAGTGCTCCCTAGAGGGCTAAGAATTAGATGGTCCCTATAGGGTTAAGGGTCTGATTCCTGAGCCTCTAAAGCTCAAGTGGTCCTTCTAGAAGTCTTTTAAATTTTGTTTCGACTTCAAAATACCACTAGGGGGTGACCCTAGAGTGGCCGCTAACTAAAACTGCTAGAGTGACCACTTTTGCAAGAGGGGAGGTAAGGTGGTCATTCGAGGAAAACCTTAAAGAGCCCCTAGATAGCCCCTCTAGTGACCACTCTGCCGTTCCCTAGTACCACGAAAGGTTTCTTTTTGCACAGTAGTCTCTAAAAAGTTAGTTTTCGAAAAATAGATGTTTCTTTTTCAATTTTCATGAAACTTTTGTTACTCGGGGAAAGTCGGAATGATGGATAATGGCTGCTAAAGGCTCAAAAAAAAGACGCAGAAAGGCAGAAAAAAGGGAGCAAAGAGGCAGCAAAAAAGCCCCTTCACCGGCTTTCCATTTTTATGGGATTTCAAAGGCTCAAGGTGGAGAAAGGCAGAGGGGGCTACGACAAGAGCGAGTTTTCCATTTGCGAGGACTACTGTATTCGGATATGCGCATTGAGTGCATACACTTTGCGTCTTTACGCTTTCGTTGCGTGATGTCACCGGGTTTTTTTTTCGAATATTTTTCAATTTTTTTTCTTGATACTGTTTTATATCGTGCAAATATCATCGAGGAAAAATGCAAATCTTGAAAAAAGGGAAAGAAAAAGTTCTCAGACATTGGTAACGCGAAACGGACGTGCTCCGGACGTTTCTGGGCGATTCAAGGGACCACTTAAGAGCGTTAAGGCTACTAAAGTGGTCACTAGAAATGCACCGACACGTCCGTTTCGCGTCCCGTTCGCGTTACCAAGGTCCGAGTTGAAAAATATTCGAAAAAAAACTCGGAAACGAAAAACCCGGAGATGTCCGACCCGGTGACGTCACGCAACGAAAGTGTAAACACGCAAAGTGTATGCACTCAATGCGCCTTTCCGCATACAGTACTCCTCGCAAATGGAAAACTCGCTCTTGTCGTAGCACACACAGCGTTCTAAAGCGGGGTTCCCGCCCCTTTTCTGAAAAGCATGCGGACGTTGCATGAGTGGGCGTGGCTAACAATCGTCTTTTCGCGTCGTAATTAAGATTCCGGATTTTTTGATTATTTGAAGGCTAGCATTTTTTTTTCCTGACATTTATAGTTTCCAAGTGTTGCTAGCCATTTCCTATAACTCTCTTAAAATTTCGCAGTTTATTTTCTTGTGGTTTGATTGGTTCAAAGGACTACATAATTGTTCTGCTCACGAAAGTCGAAATTTTTAACTCAGTTTTGATTTTGTATTCTTTTTTTTCCTGTTTGAGTAATTGAAAACTGATAATGTGATCGATTCCTGGAGTTGAAATTTCGATTTTCTGTTTTGTCTCTTAGGTACAGACCAATTACACTTTTTTTGAACTTTTCGTCAAGTCGAAATTTTTCTCTTTTGCGCGGACACTGACAGCTTTTTTTTTCTTGTTTATTAGTTGGAAACTGATATTTTGATCGATTCTTGGAGTTGGAATTTCGATTTTCTTCGAATTTGTCTCTTGGATACAGTATTTTCTTTTATAAACAACGTTTCGACACATTAACGAGCTATGGACACTTTAAAAAAACTTTCTAATACGTTTAAAAAAACATTAATTAAAAAAATTTACGTGCATAGAAACAAAAAAAAGATTTTTAAAATAATCGAAAAAAGTTAATAGCATTTAAATTAAAGAAAAAAAAGCACCTTGATTTTGATTGGCAACGCTCCAAGTTACGCGCTCCATTGAGAATAGTGTGCGCCTTTTTTTGCGTGAACCCCGTTTTAGAACGCTGTGCACAGGGAGAGGCAGCAAAAAGGGTGCATAATAGCCGATGAGAGGGCGCAAAAAGAAAGCAAAAAAAGAAGCCTTGTCATCTTTGAAGTAAAATTTTATGGAGCCTTTTCTCACCCTTTCCGAATTTGCCTAGGTATAAAAAATGTTGAAAATGGAACCTGTACTGATATCAATTTTGCTGAATATTGGTCTTCAGGCGATAAATAAATGATCACCAGAAAACCGCCGCAACAGAAAATAATATTCGAAAGGGCGAAAATGACCCTGATAGAGTTTCTGAATCGAAACGGACTATTATTGGGTAGAACTTTGTGATGTCGGTATTCGAAGAGAATCAGTATTGAAACCAATGCATCTGGAAATTTTTTTCCTGATTTTTTTAAATTAAAAAAAGACTCACTCGCCGTGACGACACAACCCATCGAAACTTGGATTTTCACAGGGATTCCAATAGTTGTGAACCAACCGAAAGAACAGCCTCCAATCACTGGAAAATAGAAAACTGGTGTCCCTAATATTGGGAGGAAAATGTCGAAGGAAGTGATCCTGAATGTAAATTTTCAAAATAAGAAGCTTTACAAGTCAATTTTTCAGAAGGAAATATCGAAAAAAAATGACCCAGGTTAGGAAATTCTGAGAGATTACGAAAAAAGTGACCCTCAAGATAGGAATTTTGGGATAGGAACCCTAAAGTGGCCTCTGAAGGGGCAGGGACACCTTGTCTCATCCCTTTAGGGGGCACTGAAGCTCGTAAAGTGGCCACTCTAGGGGAGCATGCTAGTGGTTTAACCATCAAATCACAAAAAAAAATTGAAAGACCCCTATAGGGACCACTCAAGCTTTGCTGTCTTAATGGCGAGATCTTATAAGGACCACCTAAATTTTACCCCTTTTGTCCCCTATAGGGGCCATTTTTCCGTAACCACTCTAGGGACCACTCAGGCGATCTAAAAACTGATTCGTTGGAGTGCCGTTAAAGGGTACTTTTCCTCTGGAAGATGGTCAAAATAGGTACTTCTTGGCCCTTTTTCAACTACTTTTTCTTGGATTTGGGAGAGAAGGTTTTAGATCCTAAAAAAACGTTAAAAAATACTCACCATGTCTGAAAGTTTAACAGCAACCATTTGTAGTTGTTCATCGAGGCTGGGGAAAGAAATAAAATACAGAAAAAGGCAGACAAATTCACGGTTAATAAGAAAGGAAAGGTAGAAATTTCATAAAGTCGCAGGGTCTTTACGTTGAGAAAATCGGTTTCTTTCTCGCAAGGGGGGTAGTTCAAATCCATCTTCAGGAAAAAAAAAATCACTAACGTAAATCTCGAAAAAAGGTAGTTTTTGACGAATAGCAGGTGATTTTTGAGCTTCGGCCATTTGCGGATTATTATGGAGCAGGTGGTTCAGAGAAAAGTTGTAAATTGTTTTTTTGATTTTCTCAGAGAAGCCTTGAAGCCGAAAAAAGCTTGATCTTGATGCCACTACGCGTAAGTCGTTTCGGGTCGGGCGAAGACAAAAATTTATCGTGAAGCCGTTCCAAATGCGAACACAGTATTCAAAATTTTATTCAATAACGTGACGCATTTATTCTTGATAATTCGAAAGCTATCGAACGTATAGCTGAAAAAGAGTTTAATTTTGATGCCACTGTGCTTAAGTCGTTTTGGGTCGGGCGCAGAGTAAAATTTATCATAAAGCCATTCCAAATGCGACCACATTGTCTAAATTAAGACAAAAACGTGTCGCATATGTTCTTGATAAACCAATATCAAAAAAAAAAAGAAACGAAAAAAGTAGCTTGATCTTGGTGTTAAATCGCGTAAGTTGTTTTAGGTCGGGTGCAGACTGAAAACCATCGTTTAGCCGTCCCAAATGCGACCACGTTGTTTGAAATTGAAGCGGAATGTATGCCACTTTTATTCTTGATAAGTTAAACGCCATTAGAAACATAGATTTATTCATTTTTTTCAAAATCCACTTGAAAAACTGTGACCTGTCTGTACCCTCATTTCTCTCTGTGAAGAAATAGCGCTCGAACTTGAGAGGGTGCAGAGAAAGAGAAATGTTCCAAGTTTTAATGAACACACTTGAAAAAAAAAATCAAAGATTACTTTTAAATACGGTCACAATCGAAGTTTTCGAGGTCATCCGTCCTGAAAATCAGGATCAGCTATAACAATTTCAAAGAAGACAAAAACCAAAAAATCTGAAGAAAAATTGGCGATAGAATTTATTGGAAAAAATTGTGAAGCTTGACGAAAATCCGCCATGTAGTGTTATGACGATGATGATCGATAGGGACATCCCTAAATTAAATTTTTTTTTTTGTGGTTTTTCAGTTCTTACATTGGGGAGAGGGGTTGGCGTTGACTAGAAAAGCGATAGAAATAAGGGGGATACAGACGAAAACCATGGGGATACTGGTCTGAAAATCAGGTTATTATTATAAATAGTCGTGGCGCGAAAAGTCCCCTTTAAGCCATTCCAAATGCGACCAGGGGTTTTGAAATTCGGGCTATACTAGGATCGCCAGAGTGGTCCCTATAGGGAACAAAAAGGAGTATGTTTAGTGTTTAAGAGGTCCCTGTAGAGTTTTAGAGTTCAACCACTAGCCCCTAAAGCTCAAGTGGTCCCTAAAGGGTTCGAAGTTTGAAAGAACACTGGAAAAATCTCTAGTGGCCCTTATAGAGGCTCGCCAACTTGGAGAAGACACTAAAGGAGTCACTGATTTGGCTACTATAGTGGCCACTTGAACGTCAGAGCCCTATAGGGGCCACTAAAAGTTTTTTCAGCAAGCTCGGTTCACCATCTGTTCAAAATTTTTCAAAAGTACAGAGTGATAATCGACTAGCACGTCCCTACAGGGGCCCCTCAGCTGAAACCACTAAAGGAACCACTTTTGCAAGCTTAAGTGCCCCCTATAGGCACCTTTCTGGAGTTCAAGGCATTCCTAATGGGGTGAGGGAAGGTGAGCGAGGCTTCAAAATTTGTGAATTTACAAAAAAAAGTAAGTGCGCGCTTTGGATAAAAGGACTGTGACGTCACAGCTACCTATCGTTGCAAATTAAACTGAGTATTCAACGGAATGAAGAACACATGTGGCTGCGTACTTGAGATTTCGAATTCCAAAAATTTTTTGACGTCACCCCACCCCTTTTGGGAACGCTGTGAGTTCCTAAGTATAGTCCATTCGCCGCGACTTGAAAATGTCTGCGTCTCTCTGTTCCCTCACCGACGAGGTCAGAGAAACATGGAAATAGCATGACAATATGAGAGGGTCATCGAGAGAAAAGAAGAGCAAGGGGATTTCATTTTCCGACTTACCTGTCCGCATAAATTGTAGAAAAAGTATTTCTGAAGGTTCCTGGTTTTCGTGGACATGTGGCTACTTTGCTTCTGTAAGATGTGGAGCCCATGGAAAAACCGGAAAACCAGTTGCGGAACGACGACAGCGGCCAGACCGGCCAAGAACCAGGCGCTTCTCGACGTCATATCCATTATGAAGGCTCCAGATGAGAAGATTCCGTAGGGCTTGCAATGTAGGATCTGTAATAAATTTTTAGAAAATTCGTTTTTCAACAAAAATAGCATTGAATATGTTCATTCTCCAATACTTGGAACAGTCTGACCTTCCTGCGCCCTCCTCTCTCTCAAATGACCCATCGGCGAGAGAAAAGAGGGCGCAGACAGGTCAGATTGTTCCGAATTCTTGCGTATATGTGGTATGAAAACTAATTCTTATTTTTGTCCTGTATAATTCAATACTGAAACGGTAAATTGCGGTAATTACAGTTTTCCAAGCGGCGCGGTCGCGATGCGATTTCGGCGCCAATTCAAAAGTGATCAAACTTTCAAAAACCGCTTCGCGATACGCACACTAAGAAGTCCACTTTTTGTTTTAAACTGTGGAAAATGAATATTATTACACAATGCTCGTGATACCATATAGTCTGTTCAGATTTTGAGTGTCAGGCCGTCGCTCAAGCTCCGCCCCTAATGACGTGACAAATCAATCAGACAGAAGCTTTTGAAGGACGTCATTGTAATTGACATTCAAAATCCGAACAGGCTGATTCACGGCTGGCTTGAGCCATTGGAAAAAGGGTCCTGACACGATAATGCACGAGATAGCGCCTGGCTCTTGGAGGGCGCAGACAGGCCACGTCCCCTCAGCCGTGAATCAGCTATATATGGTACACTTTTCCGCAACTTGGAGCTGCTGTTTTTCTCTGCGCCCTCCACGTCTCTCATGTTGACGTGCTATTTTCATGTCTCTCTGACCTCGCCGATGAGGGAACAGAGAGACGCAGACACTCCAAAACTTTCAAGCCGCTGTGAATGGAATATACCAAATTTTTCCGATTTGGAATGTCAAGCCGTCGCTCAAGCTCCGCCCCTAATGTCGTTGAACCAATCAGGAAGCGAGCCAGCCACAGAGCGTTTTCGGATGACGTCACTCTCTACTTGACATTCAAAAGCGACTTGAAGGTACTGTTTTTCTCTTCTCCCTCCTCGTTTCTCTCATGATTACGTGCTATTTTCATGTCTCTGACTTTTCCGATGAGAGTACAGAGAGACGCAGACACTCCAAAAACTTCAAGTCACGGTGAATAGACTATATCAAATTTTTTTTCAATGTTAGTTACCAACCTCGATAACTTGAATTTCTGCTGAATACTGATCTTTAGGCGCTAGATAGATGAGGACCAAAAAACCACCCCAACAGAAAAAGACATTCCCGAAGATGTACAATATTCTGCTGGATTTTTTCAGCCGGAACGGACTTCTACTGGGTAACATAATGTGATGTCGGTATTCAAACAGGATCACCACTGACACTAGGGAATCTGTAAAATGAACTTATTTTCTATTTTTTGGATTCCTCTGCTCACTGGACGAAAGAATACAGCCGATAGCTGTTTGAAGGATTATAGGTACCCCGATTGTCGTGAACCAACCTATGGAACATCCGCCCAGAACGGGGAAATAGAAAACTGGCGTGACCAATAATGGAAAGAAGATGTCCCAAACTGTGAGCCTGGAAGTTGAAAAATAGGCTCTCTGCGCCCTCTCAAGTTGACATGCTATTTTAATGTTTCTCTGACCTCGGTGAGGGAACAGAGAGACGCAGACGCTCGAAAAATTCCCCCTAGCGTGGTCCCTATAGGATCCAACTTAAGAGTACTCAAAAGTCTCCTCACCTTTCCTATAGGGGCTGTAGAGCTCCCAGAAGTGGTCTCTATAGGGGTTTTAGTTAGAAGTCACTTTAGGGGAGCATGGCCTTACAATATCAACAAAGGAACTACTATGAACATCTTTTAAGTTTTAAAACTACAACAAAGAGTTTAAAGACCACTATAGGGACCACATAATCTTCAAAGGCTTGGGAGTCAGACCCTAAGCTCTATAGGGACTGTTATAGTGTCCCCGTAAATCTACACCATTTCAAATGGCCGCGCATTATTAAGATGTGCAGGTCACCTTCATAGTTTCATTTCTGCGCAATCGCGTTAGGCGATTGAGTTTTGGTTCTTTTTTTCTTTTTTTTTTACTTTTGTATGAAGTAAACGTTTTAGTAATTTAAAGTTGTTTACTTCACAATACAACAGGGACCATTTAAACGTACCTTTCAGGAGCTGTTTTTTCCTTAAGGGACCACTTTGGAGCTCCTAAGTGTGCGGTTTTTGGCGGGAAACTCAAATTTGAACCCGAAATGGAGAAAAGGGTAATAAATGCGGTTTTCATCATACTTTCACCTCACAAGAACCTTGAATAAATGATGAAAGGTCTAAAAAAGGCAGTTTCTGTTTAAATTTGAATTCCCCGCCAAAAATCCGCACCGCGACCGCAACGCACTTCTACTGTAATCAAAAAAAAAAGAAACGAACCATGTTTGATAGTTCAATAACAACCATTTGTAGTGTTTTCATACTCGCCGGTGACAGGAATAATATACAGAAAAAGAAGTGAAGTTCAAAGTTGATATGATTGGAAAAATAAAAGTTTCGAAGACTCGAAATATTCTGACATTGAGCCAGTCGCCGTCCTTCTCACACGGCGGATATTCCGCCATTTTTACTGAATTTTTTGAAAAATGGTTTACAAAAAGGGGAAAATATTTTGACAGACCAAACTTAACAAGAAAATTCCATGGGAAACAGGTGAAAATTTTGCAAAAGGGTAATAAAGATAAAGGTAAGTTCATGATGCAAAAATGAAAATAAAATTGGAAGTGAATTGGGTTGGCTTTGGGAAATTTGAGAAGAAAGATTTTTTTAAATGACTCAGGTGACAATTTGAATATAAAGTGGGTGAATCAAAATTCAAAAACGAGGGGGATTTGATCACCCAAAACAAGGTTCTCCCCCGTAATTTTGGGCAATTTTCAGAACTCTTGAGCTGAAAACCCATGCTTAAGAATTATTGACGTCAGATATCAAAATTTGATTTTTGATATGTTTCTTTTCTGACTGGTCTCTTGAGATTTGAGACTTTGTGGTTTTTAATGTTTGCCTTTCAACAGCAAGTAGTTGAGGGAATATTAAGAGAAGAAAGCGTGACATGAGGAAGATAGTAGATATAAAATTTTTTGTAACTTTTGTTGTAAATCTTCGAAAAAAATATCACAAAAATGTGTAAGGAATACAGTTATGAGCCGGCAAAAAAGATATCCGTCAGAGGGATTCGAACCTTGGACACATTGACAGTGAATAAGACCCCTAACCACTACACCACGCCTCAAGTCTCTAGCCGAAGGCTCGGAGCGGGTCTAAATCCGCACTGGAAAAGTTTGAACGAGCTTTTTCTCGGTTGCCTGAGGGGTTTTACAGAATTTTATTTTTGATTCTGAGTACTCTCACTAACTTTAGGGGATCTTGTAGGTGCCTTAAGGAGCTACCCTACCTTCTACTGGGGCATTAGAGCTTTCATAAAATAAAAATTATGTGGTAGTGGTCCTATACGTCCAATCGGTAAATTTGAAGACCAATAGAGGGGCCACTTAATCTATAGGCGCTTCTAGTCATACCCTGAAACCTAATAGGGGCCGCTTCGGCTTTAAGGGCTTTGGGGTCAGATCCTGCTTTCTCAAGGGGATGTTTGCCCTAATCCCTCTAGTGGCCACTCTGGCGTTTTTATAAGAACGTGGCCGCGACGCTCCGACCCATTCCAAGTGCGACCACTTTTTAGACCAAAATTTATTCATTTCAAGGTTCTTCTGCTTCCAGTTGAAATGAGGACACTTGAAACGTTGACTGTTACTGCTGAAAAAAAACGATAAGAGTTTAAAATTTTTTTGTAAACCAACTTTTTTTGGGTCTGAAGCAATGAAAACGGAAGAGTTTGAAGAAGAATTCTCGATAGAGCTTATTTGAAGCAACAGTGAAAGTTGATGAAACTGCGCCGTGGGATGTTATCGTTAAAAGAAGGAAGGGAGACATCCCTGGAAGAGTTTTACAGATTTTCATTTTCCCATAGTCCATTCGCCGCGACTTGAGAGTGTCTGCGTCTCTCTGTTCTCTCACCGGTCAGAGAAACATGAAAATAGCGCTTCAACATGGGATGGTCGCCGAGAGACAATATTTCCTTACTTACACTGCAAAAAAGTGTTGGTGTTGATCAAAAAAGCGATGAAAATGAGTGGAACACAAACGAAAATCACCGGAAGGCTGGCCTAAAGGATAAAATTCATAGTTTTGCTATGTTTTCCTAGAACCTGGACGCACAAATTGTAGAAAAAGTATTTCTGAAGGTTCCTCGTTTTCGTGGACATGTGGCTGCTTTGCTTTTGCAATATGTAGATCCCATGAGAGAAGTAGAAAAACACTTGGGGGGTGAAAACGAGGAAAAGTACGGCCAGGTACCAAGTGCTTTTCGAGGTCAAATCCAGAATGAAACCGCCAAATGAGAAAATTCCATAGGGCACGCATTGGAGGACCTGAAATTAGTTTAAAGCCGGGTGACCACATCAGAATGCACTGCCAAAGTCGGAAGGGCGGAAAAAGGGTGCAAAATGGCCGCTAAAATGGTTCCGTTTTGTGGTCTTTATTGAGCCTTTCATTCTTGGTGGGCTCAAAAAAGGGTGCAAAAAGGGTGCTGAAAGTCCCGACCATCTATGATTTCCGATTTCATTACTGTAGCACATTTTGGTTTATACACAGTCCCTGGTAAAGATTATTCATCATTTAAAAAATCTTGTGTTTTTCAAAAGGGTCCAAAAAAGGTGGATAAAGGACGATAAAAGGACGAAAAAAGGCTGTGAAAAGGAAACCGTTGCCTCCCTTTTAGAAAAAATTAATGGGAGCCTTTGCACCCATAACGGGCCCGTGAGGGTCTTTCCGACTTTGCCTATGTGACCAAAGTTGTTTAGTGCCCTTTAAAGGAGGAAGTTAGGTGGTCCCTTGAGAAAAATCTACAGGTTGCCCCTCTAGGAACCTCTCTGGCGTCCCTAAAAATGTGAAAAAAAGATAACCTCGATGGCTTGTAGTTTCGCTGAGTACTGATCTTCTGGAGCCGTGAAAATCAAAAAAAGAAACCCAAGAAAAAAAATAAAAACATTGCCAAAAATTTGGATAATTCTGATAGATTTTCTGAGTCGATATGAACTTTTAGTGGGTAGAATCGTGTGATGTCGGTATTGGAATAGAATCACTATCGAAATTATAGCATCTGAAAAATAAAGTCGTTTTTTTGGAACGATCGCCTTTACGGCGTGCGAAGCGGTCGCGTTGCGGTTTTTGGCGCGAATTCGAAAGTTCTAGCCCCTATAGGGGCCACTAAAACTTTTAGCCATTTAGAGACCGTCAATTGCCTCTTATAGGAGTTCCTAATACAGCAAAATCCTAAAGGAATCCCTCCCAACTTCTTAGAAACGCAGGAAACCGAATTGGCGCCAAAACGCGTCGCAACCGCTTCGCAGGTGAACTGCAAACGACATTCCGCCGTTCCAAGGAAAAATGGACTTACTCGCCGCAACAATGCAGCTGATAACAAGTTGAATTTTCATAGGTACACCGAAAGTTGTGAACCAGCCAGTAGAACAACCGCCAATGGCAGGAAAATAGAAAACTGGTCTGACTAGTGATGGAAAGATGATATCGAAAGAAATGACCCTAAAAATGGAATCAGTTCATGTCGTCAATTCACCGCGGCTTGAAAGTTTTTGAGCGTCTGCGTTTCTCTGTTCCCTCACCGGCGAGGTCAGGATCGCCGAGAGACGAGGAGGGCGCAGAGAAAAAAAACAATTAACACCGCAGTGGTCCCTATAGGGGCACGGCATTCCTAATGGGATGAGGGAAGATGAGCGAGGCGTCAAAGTTTCTGAATTCACAAAAAAAAAGTAAGAAAGCGCTCCGGATAAAATGACGTCATTCTACTCTGAATATTCAACTTTAATAACTTGTTTGTACGATCGCCTTTGGCTGCGTACTTGAGATTTTAAATTTCGCGCCCAAATGTCTTTGACGTCTCCCCACCCCGTTTGGGAACACCGTGAGGGACGAACTCCGTCCTTTCAAGTCCCGAGAACCGGGCTATATTTTTATTAAACCTCACCATGTTTGATAGTTCAACAGTAACCATTTGTAGTGCTTCATGGAGATTGGAGACAGATATAAAATGCACAGAAACGCGGAAAAATTCAAAGTTAATAGAATCGGAGAGGCGAAGGTTTCAAAAAGTCGAAGAGATTTTTCGTTGAGCCAACCGTTTTCCGTATCACAAGATGGGTAGGCCATTAAGATAAAAATGTTCTGAGAGCGGATACGAAGGAAAGAAACAAATGGGGATTCGATATGACAGATGTTTTTTTCTCCCGAAAATCTTTTGAAAGCGACCTTCTAGGGGAGAAGCATGTGGAAATGTTTTGAGAAGGAAAAATTAGTTTTCAGATTAAAGATACAAATAAGGTTTGAGATTTCAATCAGAGACGTTGGCGATTTGGCAGCTGATGATTGAAAGAACTCGTTGACACCTTATTTCAAAAAACTCTGTTAACGTGTTCAAAAAGTCATAGAAACGTTTATTCACGGCAAGCTTGGGGCGTAGCCTGTCTGCGCTCTCCACGAGCCAGGCACTATCTCGTGCATTATCGTGCCAGGACCTTTTTCGCTTGCTCAGCCGTGAATCAGCTATATTCCTCATTGCAAGGTTCTGCTGGATCCATGTGAAATAAGGACGTTCGAGACTTGGATCGTTGCTGTGAAAAATACGATTAAGTTCTAAAAAAGCAATCACACTTACTTTTCTTGGGTCTGAAGAAGTGGAAACGGAAGAGTTTGAGGAAGAAATTCCGATAGAATTTATTGGAAAAAACAGTGAAAATTGATGAAAATCCACCGTGTGACGTTAACATGATAAGGATGAAGGAAGACATCCCTGAAAGTAGATATATTCAAATTTCCTTTAACTTTGTCCATACACTGTGAAAAAGAGCTGTTGATCAACACAGCTGTGAAGATAAGAGGCACACAAACGAAAATCATTGGAATGCTGGCCTGAGGATATTTATAGTTTGGTCATTTATTTATCCTAGAACCTGTGCGCACAAATTGTAGAAAAAGTACTTTTGGAGATTTCTCGTTTTATTGGACATGTGGCTGCTTTGCTTTTGCAGTTTGTAGATTCCATGAGAAGAGTAGAAAATCACTTGGGGGGTGAAGCCGACGAAGAGTGAGGCCGAGAACCAAGCGCTTTTCGAGGTCAAATCCAGAATGAAACCGCCAGAAGTGTGAATTCCATAAGGCTCACATTGAAGGATCTGTAATTGATTACATGGTCCGCCCGCGGCACTAGATATTTCTCGGGTGTCTGCGTCTCACTATTCTTTCACTGGCGAGGTCAGAGAAACACGGAAAGAGCTCGTCAACATGTGAGGGTATCAGAGAGATGAGGAGGGCGCAGAGAAGTACTGCCCAAAAACAGATTGTATCCATTTTTTCACTCCTACGCTGTACTTCGATGAGACGCGGTTGCATCTAGACTACTGATCAAGAAAATAAGTCTAATAGATTTTTGTGACGCTCTGGAATGCTAGGCGATCTTCAAGAATCCCCCACCCAACTTCGGAATAAGCATTTCAAGCCTTGTCCAAATCAGCCCCCTCCCCCCGCGCCCCAAATCATTCTAAAAATAGCCCCCTCCCCCGCGCCCCAAATCATTCTAAAATAGCCCTCCCCCGCGGGACGTGTAGCGTGTGCGTACGCGGTTCTCGGCGCCAGTTCAAATCAAGCGCATCGCTTTTTTTCTATATTATCTTCTATTTTTTGATGGACATATGAACATAATCAATAAATAATTGAATTGAACTCGTGCCAAGAACCGCGTACGCATACGCTACGCATCCCGCCCCCTGCCTCGCCTTTCAAGTCGGGGAAAATTGACAACATTCATGAGAACCTTCAAAATCGATGTTTACATATCTTCCCCGTGAGATCAAAAAGAAAATTGGCAACCTCGATGGCTTTCAGTTTTGCTGAATATTGGTCTTCGGGCGCCGTGTAGATGAGAAAGAGAAAGCCACCGTGGCAACAGAAAATATTGCCAAGAATATATAACATTCTGATAGATATTCTGAATCGAAACGGGCTTTCACTGGGTAAAACCGTGTGATGACGGTATTCGAAAAGGATCACTATTGAAACGACAGCATCTGAAAAATAAAGTCGTTTTTTTGGAACGATCGCCTTTACGGCGTGCGAAGCGGTCGCGTTGCGGTTTTTGGCGCGAATTCGAAAGTTCTAGCCCCTATAGGGGCCACTAAAACTTTTAGCCATTTAGAGACCGTCAATTGCCTCTTATAGGAGTTCCTAATACAGCAAAAATCCTAAAGGAATCCCTCCCAACTTCTTAGAAACGCAGGAAACCGAATTGGCGCCAAAACTTCTCATTATTTGAGTTTTCGAATTGTCGCATACTCGCCGCCACGATGCAACCAATGACAAGTTGAACTCTCATAGGTACACCGAAAGTGGTGAACCAACCAATCGAACAACCTCCAATCGCAGGGAAATAAAAAACAGGCGTGACTAATAATGGAAAAACGATATCGAAAGAAATGACCCTAAATCTAAACCAGTTTTTGTAGTCCATTCACCGCGACTTGAAATTTTTCGAGCATCTGCGTCTCTCTGTTCCCTCACCGGCGAGGTCGGGGTCGCCGAGAGACGAGGAGGGCGCAGAGAAAAAGCAGTTAACACCGAAGTGGTCCCCAAAGGGGCAACTCCGCCCTTTCTAGTCCCGAAAAAAAAAATTGATTTAATGAATCTTACCATGTTTGATAGTTCAATAATAACCATTTGTAGTGCTTCATAGAGATTGGAGACAGAAATGAAATGCACAGAAACGCGGAAAAATTCAAAGTCAATAGAATCGGAGAGGCGAAGGCTTCAAAAAGACGCAACGTTTTTTCATTGAGCCATCCGCTTTCCGTATCACAAGGTGGGTAGGCCATTAATATAAAAATGTTCTGATAACGGATATGAAAGAAAGAAACAAATGGGGATTCGATATGACAGATGTTTTTCTCCTGGAGATCTTTTGAAAGCGACCTTCTAGGGGAGAAGCATGTGGAAATGTGTTGCGTAGCAGAAAGAAAAGCAGTTTTCTGATCATAGATAGGAATGAATTTTTATCGAGATATTTTTGGTTTTTGAGGAAACTTCAATACAACTCTCACGTGTCTGCGTCTCTCTGTTCCCTCATCGGCGAGGTCAGAGAGACATTAAAACAGCTTTCATAAATAAGAGGAGAATGTGAAAAAAAGTTTTATACAAACAGAAAAAGGAAACTTTAGTCTCTGAACACAAGTTGATTCTAATACAAATATGAACGACTTTGCAGCAACCGCGACGCGCCCGCAACGCCTTGAGCCATTCTCCGTGCGACCAGGGCGTATCAAGCCAGGGAGAGTATAGTGTAGTTCATGGCACAAAAACCTCTTTTCTCGACGCTTTTGAGGTCGGAGCTTTCGAGGAGCTGGTAGCTGTTGGAAAATTTGGAAAAATTTTTGGAAAAATCTTGAAACTGACTATTTCTAGATGTCAGAAACTTGAAGAAAAATCCCCGATAAAACTTATTTGAAAGAATAGTGAAAATTGAAGAAATTCCACCGTGCACGGATATAGTGATCACAATACATGGCGAAACCCCTGAAAAATTGTTTTTTTTTTGAAAGAATATTCATTTTACATTGCATAGAAGTGTTTGTGTTGACCAAAAAGGTGCCGAAAATCAGTGGGACGCAAATAAAAAGCGTTGGAATACTGGCCTAAAAAAAAAGGATGTATAGGGATTCTTAGGGACCCTAGAGTGGTCCTTCGAAGGGGATAGGGGTCCCTGAAGAGACTTCTTAAGGGATTTTACTGATCATTCTGGGTACGATAGATATTCCTAGACTCTAGGACATAGAGAACCAGAAGTTTCATATGAGCCCAAAATCCCTACAGGTATCACCTAACTTTCACCCCTATAGGTTCAGCTTTTCCTAATAACCCCTCTAGGAACCCCTCTGGCGTCTCTAAAATTTTCAAACTATAACCTGTCCGCATAAATTGTAGAAAAAGTACTTCTGAAGATTTCGAGTTTTAGTAGACATATGGCTGTTTTGTTTGAGCAAGATGTAAATCCCATGAGAGAAATGGAAAATCAATTGCGGCATCGAGCCAACAACCAGTGAGATCGAAAACCAGGCACTTCTCGAAGTCAAATCCGCAATGAATGCGTCTGGTGTGAAGATTTTGTACGGCTCGCATTGGAGGATCTGCAAGCAAACTATTTATTTTTTGGTAAGCGTTCTTTCCAATTTCGCACTTTGAAACTAACAACTGTTGATTTTGAATACTCGGGCGAAGTCGGAATGGTGAAAAAAAAGTGAGAGGCTCAAAAAAGACCGCAAAAAGGCCGCAAAAAGGCCGCAAAGAGGCAGCAAAGAGGCAGCAAAAAGGGTCCCGTTATGGAGCTTTTCACACTGCCAAACGAAGTGCGGAAAACAGGTGCAAAATGGCCGCTGAAAGGGTTCCGTTTTGCCTTTATTAAGCCTTTTTTTATTGGTATGCTGGTAAGCTACAAAAAACGGTGAAAACAGGGTGCAAAAAGGGTGCTGAAAGTCTCGGCCATTGATAATTTCCGACTTTATTACTGTAGCACGATTTGGTTCATAAACAGTCGTTGGAAAAAGATTATTTTCAATTTTAAAAATATTCTTTCTCAAAAGGCTCCAAAAAGGGTGGGTGAAGGCCGATGAAAGGATGCAAAAAGGCAAAAAAGGAGACCTTTACCACCCGTTCGGGAACAATTAATGGACATTCTTCATCCATCACGGACGCTAAAGGGTCCTTCCGACTTTGCCTATGCATTTTTTCTCGAATTCTGAAGGCTTGAGAAGGGGTGAAAAAGGGAGAGGCAGCAAAATTGGTGCGTAATAGCCGATGAAAGGGCGCGAAAATGCAGCAAAAATGGAACATTTCTATGGAGTTTTCCAACATTTTCGACTTGGCCCATGAAGTTTGGATGCAAAGCGGTCGCGCCGCGTTTTGGCGCCATCTTCTAATTTTTGGATTTTTCTCACGTCATTTCCTGATAAAATCTAATTAATTCCATCAGGTAACTCCCATATTTGGAAGGCCCCTAAAGCTCAAGTGAATAGTGGATTATATCAAATTCAACTCCTCCATTTTTCGAATCCAGTAACCAACCTCGATCACTTGAATTTTAGCTGAATTTTGATCTTCAGGCGCTAGAAAAATAATGACAAGAAACCCCATATAACAATAAAAAAAATTTCCAGAAATGTAGAAGATCCTGAAGGGTTTTCCGAACCGGAAGAAACTGTCTCTTGGCAGAATCATCTGATGTCGGTACTCGAAAAGAATCAAAATTGAAACCACCGCATCTGAACCATTTGTTTTAATTTTTCCAGCTTTCCAGAGTCAGTTTGTGCCCCCAGAACTTGTAGAAAAAAGGGGGGCACACTACTTTAAGCTTTTCCTCACTGGCTGCGGCGACACAACCAATCAAAATTTGAAGTTTTATAGGGACACCAAAAGTTGTGAACCAGCCAACCGAACATCCTCCAATAATGGGAAAATAAAGATGGGGTGTTATCAATAATGGGACACAAATATCGAAAAAAACCACCCTGGAAATGACGTCATTTTTTCATCACTTATAGTCCGTCCGCCGCGACTTGAGAGTTTTCGCGTGTCTGCGTCTCTCTGTTTTCTCACGGGCGAGGTTCAAGAAACATGGGAATAGCACGTGAGCATGAGAGGGTTGCCGAGAGATAAGGAGGGCGCAGAGCAGTCTTTCAAGTCGCGAAAGACGGACTACAGTTCTTACAAAATTAATGAAACGAACCATGCTTGATAGTTTAATAACAACCATTTGTAGTGTTTCATACTCACTGGGGACAGAAATAAGATACAGAAAAAGGCGGAAAAGTTCAAAATCGATAGAAATGGAGAGGCGAAGGTTTCGAAATGGCGGAGAGTTTCTACAGTGATCAAATCGGTTTCCTTCTCACAGGGAGGAAATTTTGTGATCATCGGAATGTCCGACTGAAAAAGTTTTCAGATACACTTGGGGTGTTATGATTTCGCAGAATACAGGTGAAAAATAATTGGAATCCAGGTCGGATGATTAATTTTAAGGTTACACGAAAGGTGACAAAAAAAGAAAGGGCGGGGGGGAGGGGGTTTGAAAGAAGATTTCCGAATGTCTGCGTTTTTTTCTTTTCCTTCACCGAAAAGGTCGGATAAACTTGGAAATAGCACGTAAAAAAATGAGAGAGACTTCGAGAGGCGAGGAGGGCGCAGAGAAATCTTTCCAGACAGCCTTAATTCCTTGTTTCAAACGGCTTCTGTTAATTCCTTGTTTCAAACAGCTTCTTTAACATGCTTTTCAGTTAAAATTTATCAACCCAAAAGAAACAGAATTTTTTATTTAACAGTCACTTTCTTAACAGCCGACAAGTGCTTACTGTGATCCACGGAAGCCTTGATCTCTGAAAAAAATTGATTTGAAAAAGTGAAAATTTTTAACCAACCTTCTTTGGAAAACAACATCTTCCATGAGCAGTATGGGAATCTTGCGAAAAATCTCCGATAATATTTATTAGAAACGATAGAAAGTGTTGAGGCGAACCCGCCATGTAGGGACGCCATGATGATTAGTAGAGCATTTATCGCTGAAAAATTGTTTTGTTTGGACTAAAAAAGTGTAGGGAGTAAAATAAAAGTTCAAAAGCGATTAGTATAAAGATAAAACTGCGCTACAGCTCGATATGAAGCTGAAATTTTTTCGAAAATTTGATTTTTGGGTTAGTATGATCCGTTATAAGTATATTTTTGAAAAAAATGATCACAAATTACATTCTAACTATTTATAGACCAATTTATTCTGCCAACAAACAACTTGCAGCTCTGCGGTTTGAATGGATTTCTGAGGCCGGTTTTTTGATGGCTTCAGGCGAAACCCGTTTTGAGTCGGTTGCGATTTTAAGCAACATCCTTGCTTTGAGCCATTCTAATTGCGGTCACAGGTAACAGAGATAGGCGTAATGCGTTTTACAGTAAAAAAATGTTTCAAAAATTATTTTGTGGTCTTTTATAAATTTCAAAGTTCACCAACTATTGAAAAAAATGCCTTCTCAAGAAGAAAAAAATACAAAATTTTCACCTTTTCAATCGAAAAAAAATGTGGTTATTTTTGTACTGAGGAGATATTGTGCTACCGCACTCCGCGCTTCACAAAAAAATTTTTTTCACATTCCGCAAAAAAAAAAAACAGTTCCGCCTCTCTCACATAGGCAATATCACAGCAAAAGTCGGAAGTGCGGGAAGCGGGTGCAAAATGGCCGCTAAAAGGGTTCCATTTTACGCCCTTCATTGAGCCTTTCATTACTGGTGGGCTAGAAATCTTCAAAAAAAGGTGCTGAAAGTCTCGGCCATTGATGATTTCCGATTTTATTACTGTAGCACATTTTGGTTCATACACAGTCACTGGTGAAGATCATTCTCAGTTTACAAAATTTTGTGTTTTTCAAAAGGGTCCAAAAAGGGTGGATAAAGGCCGATGAAAGGACGCAAAAAGGCAGTAAAAAGGAAACCGTTGCCACCCGTTATGGAACAATCAATGGAAACCTTTGCATTCCAAACGGACGCTCAAAGGGCCCGTAAAGGGTCCTTCCGACTTTGCCTATGGTATCACAAGTTTAGCCTACCGTCGAAGGAAGTATTGGTGTTGACGAAGAAAAACGCTATGACCAGTGGGGAGCACATGAAGATCATCGGAATGCTGACCTGGAAAATTTCAAAATGAATCTCGGTTTCCAGATTTTTTTTAAGAATCCAAAAATGTCGATTTTACAATTCTCTCGAAGTGACCTTTCAAGAAGGTCCTACCTGAGCACACAAGTTGTAGAAGAAGTGTTTCTGAAGGCGTCGAGTCTTCGAGGACATATGACCACTTTGCTTGGACAGGACGTAGAAGCCATGAGAGCTGAGGAAAATGAACTGGCTGATGACGACGACGGCCAGACCGGCTAGAAAACATTGGGTTCTGGGCGTCAAATCCAGTACGAACGCGGCTGGAGTGAAGAGGTTAGGCGGAACACATTTGAGAATCTGGAAAATGGTTGTTATATAACTTCGCAAGGTGGTTTTGTTAAATCGCGTCATTCGTTAGTTCGTGAACGCCAGAGGGGTTCCTAGAGGGATGAAAATGGACCCCATAGGGGTTAACGATCTGAGCCATGAATCCCAAAAGCTTCATTGGTCCCTAGACTGGACTTTCAATTTTTAGTTCTGATTAGAGTAGGGGGGTAAATTCGTCCCTACTCGGGCAAAGTCTAGGAATGGCTGCCAAAAAGGATAAGGTTGAAAAAAAGGCCGCAGAAAGGTAGCAAAAAGATTCCCTTCATGGGGCCTTCCATTTTTTCTATCTCAAAGGCGTGGAAAAGTGGAGAGGCATCAAAAATTGTGCATAAAAGCCGATGAGAGGGCGCAAAAAGGCAGTGAAAAAGGAGCCTTTATCACACCCCTCTGGTGATCCTGAGCAATTTATCGATTTTTTCAACGCGCAAGTGAAACCACTTTCTTTCACAAACCGCTCAAGGTTGGGTACAGATCAGTGAAAATCTCACTGTGATTTTTGTTCATTCAAAACCGCCGCGCAACCGCGTCGCGCCAAGCCAAGTTTCTTAATTTCTATATCATGGTTCACTCTCACCTCAACAACTTTCAACTTGGAGCCCTCTTGATCGGCGGGAGCCAACAAGATGACGACCACAAAACCGCCGGTACAAAAACAAAAATTCCCAAGAATATAAGCGATCCTAACTGAAGTTTGAAACCGGAACGGACTATTCACCGGTAGAACTGTATGATGTCGGTATTCGAATAGGGCTAGGATTGAAACGAGAACGTCTGAAACTCCGTTGAGAAACTTATGAAAGTGTGAACTTTATTCTTCACTTGTAAAGCAAACACAGCCGATAAGGCATTGTAGTAGAGAGGACACCCCGATTTTTGAAAATAATCCGGCGGCGCAGCCGGCCAAAACTGGAATATAGAGTATTGGTAGCAAGATGACCGTCAGCATAACATCCAATATTATGACCCTGAAACCCATTTTTCAAACTTGGGAAGTGTTAATGACTGTTTGGAGGCGCGACCGACCTAAAACTACTTACGCGGGATAAGTATTAAAGCAAGCTAGCTTGGCTATACGCGACCGCGGTTCGACCGAGGTTTCTCAGCGCGTCCGACCTAAAACTACTTACGCAAGATAAGTAATAAAGCGAGCTACCCAGTGTTGGCTGTACGCGACCGCGCTTCAACCGACTTTTCTCGGCGCGTCCGACCTGAAACTACTTGCACGCGACATGGAATGAAGCAAGCTATTTAGGTCGCCAAGTGTTTGAAAGCGCGACGCGACCGCGCTGCTTTTACCGAGGTTCTCCAGCTCGTCCGACCTGAAGCAACTTGCGCGCAACACGGAATGAAGCAAGCTATTCAATGTTGGCTATCACTTATTTAAACCGCAACGGGACCGCGCTTCAACCGACTTTTCTCGGCGCGTCCGACCTGAAACTACTTGCGCGCAACACGGAATGAAACAAGCTATTCAATGTTGGCTATCACTTGCTTAAACCGCAACGGGACCGCGCTTCGACCGAGGTTTCTCAGCGCGTCTGACCCAAAACTACTTACACGTGATAAGTAATGAAGCAAACTGACAAATGTTAGCCGTCATTTGATTATTATTATCACTTATTTCTTAAAAATTGATCATTGACAAATTAAAAGCGCAACGCGACCGCCCCGCTTGAATCAAAGTTTTTTCGTCCGACCTGAAACTACTTGCGCTCCAGAGCACGAGGAAATACTAAAGAGTAAGCATTACGAGCCCGACGCTCCAAGTCATTCCAATTGCCATCAAAAAAAAACTCACCATGTCTGATAGTTCAGTAATAGCCATTTATATTGCTTCATAGTTGCTGGGGATAAGAAATAAATACAGCAAAACGCAGCGACATTCAACGCCGAAACAAACGGAAAAATCAAGTTTTCAATGAACCGAAATTGAGCCTCGTTCAGAAAATCAGAATCACGGACGCAATCCGGGTACATCTTCGTGAACGGAAAAACCGGAGCTTCAAGGGAAAAGCTTGGAATTTCGAATGACTAAAAACCCATTCAGCTGTCTGTTGTTCAAAAAACCACCTGTAACTATAACGAGTAAGGTGCTTTTTATGTTAAATGACAGCTGCGAAAACGAAATTACTGACGGAAAATTGAATAAATGTCCAACCAGAGGTTTTAACTTCTGACATTTCATTCTGTTTGAAGTTGTTAAAATGGATTTTTTGAGCTCAAAGTCTGATTTCTAGTTTCTTTTTGTAAAGAAAAACTTCTTCATTGAGTTTATTCAACGTTGACGGTTTTCAAAGATCAAAGGCGTACGGGATAGACGATTTCTTCAGTTGCAACCGACCCAAAACGGCTTGCGCGCAAGACCATTTTTTAGTGTTGAGCTTTTATTTTTGATATTTTGGAAAGCATGGTCGGATCTTGACACGGTAACATCTTAGAAAATTCCGTAAAAATATCCGATGTTATCTCATTGTTGTTCATGTTATGGAACGAGAATCTATTTCTTCATTTTTTTTTGAAAATATTTTGCCCAGAGGAGTATTTAGTGAAGACCTGTAAGACTTAGAAATCCCAGAGTGGTCCCTAGAATTACATCCTTTTTCCTTCAGGGACCACCTTATAGTGGGCGCTAAAGCTTGCCAGAGGCCACTACAGTGTTTTTAGTAAGTGACCTCTCTAGGGGAGCACGCCAGCGGTCCTTATGCGACTTTTCAACATTGAAATCAGAGCAAAAAAAAATGGGAGACTACTATAAAGATCACTTAGGCTTGAGGTAATCAGGAATCGGACTCTAAACCCCTACACGGACCACCTAAGCTTCAACCCTCTAGGGACCACTCTGGCGTTCCTAAGAAAGTTTTTCAAGAACACTTTTCCACCTGCCATTTCGAGAACCCAGCCCATTAGGCCAACTTCAATTCCCATCCAGCTTTCTTGAGCTTTTCCCAGCATGTATATTCGCCTTATTCGGATACGTCTCCCGACTCTTTTCATGTGAGAATCAAGGGAACCAAAAAATGCTAACAAGTCTCTCGGCTCCATAAACAAAACGGCTCATTTCGCATTCGCCTGCTCTTTGTTTCCTGTTGTTGACGAGACTCTTGAGACGAAACATTTCCAAGAAACGGCGGGATTACGGTAATTGTTTCCGTTGTATAATGTGAAGTTGAATCGGAGTGGGAAAGTTTTTATGTTTCTTGGATCGAAATTTTCTGGAAAAAGGTTGATTTTCAAGGAGTTTTAGTCTTATTTGAGCTCAATAGAGGTTTTTTTTTATAGCTCCAAAAATTTCCACTTTTTCATTTTCGATTCGAAAATTTCTCAGCAAACGTAGAACTTTCAAAAGTTGACTCTCCGAGGCTTACTGGAGCTTTTCAGTGCCTCTGCGCGCAAGTCGTTTCAGGTCGGTCGCAAGTTGAAGAGCTTTACAAACGCTACGACTTGAGCGGTGTCAAATACGTCACGGATCGATTCTTCAACACTTAGAAGCCTTCTGAAGCTTTTCAATTTCTCCGGGCGCAAGTCGTTTCAAGTGGGTCGCAAGTTGAATAACTTCACAGGCGATGAGTTTTGAGCCATTTCAATAATGTCACGGATCGACTCTTCAACACTCAGAAGTCTCCTGAAGCTTTTCAATACCTCTGCGCAAGTCGTTTCCAGTCGGGTGCAAGTTAAAGGGCTCCGCAAATGCTACGTTCTGAGCCATTTCCAATTCCCTTTACTTTCATTCATCATTTGTCGGTCCTAGAAAAAATTTTCAAAATTTCGTACCCACTTTTTGACCTGCTTCAGAATGATAAGTTTGTGTTAAGATTAATACTTGCATAAATCAAATATTTCAATTTTTTTCATATTTCTCTAAAAACAAATAAAACGATTTATTAGGCTCATATAATAATGAATATACATTGGAAGCAGTAAAAAAACCGGATTTTTTTCAAGATTTTCAGAAAAAAATGACAAAAACAAAGTTATGACTTATGGCTTTTTCATGGACAAAATTTATAAAAATAAAAGAATTCAAAGTTCAAAAAAATGCAATATAAAGGTACAAAAATAATGGGGAATTGGCACCAGATGTAGGAATTTGCACCGAGGAATTTTTTTCACTAAATATTTTTTTGATTATTAAAAAATCGGATCATATGATAATCGGAAAATAAATAATCCATAAAACTGCAAACTTATGTAAAAACCCTGCAGAGAGAAGAAATTGGACTTTTCGATATTATTATTATTTTTTGGTCTGACAGGCTTTTATTGATTTTTGAATCAATCGATAATGAGGAAAATGTGTGATTTTATCACATTAGGAGGGAAATAATAACGGAGAATTTGGAATTCGGGAAGATTGTCGAGTAGAATGTATGAAATGGATAGTTTGGAGAAGTTTATTTTTGATAAAGTGGGCGTGGTTTGTAATTAGTAACATGAGCAATGAGGGGCGTGGCTAGAAACACGTCTCCTTTTTCGAACGAAAAATGGAAAAAGAGGCGTGGCTATCACTCTTCACAGAAAAGTTAAGATGAGCAATATTATGGATAGCCACGCCCATTTTCGGGCAGATTTTCCGCTCTTTGCATAATCAATAAAGCCACGCCCCCTTTTTTGCGAATGAACAACTCTTTGAGAGTCATTTTGGTCATAACATATCTTCAACATAATTGCTAACATGAGCAAGCCACGCCCATTTTGGGAAGAAATAACTCTTTAAGAGTCATTGAAAACGCCCTTTTCTGGAATTTTTGGAATGAATAAATTTTCAATGGGATCACGTGGTCTTGTGGGGACAAGCGGCAAGGATCGCCGATAGGGTTATCATCGGATCGGCCGTCGGGTCGACGAAAGCCAGGAGTTGCTGGTAGCCGATCGCCTGCTGCGTGCATTTCATGCATACTGCTTCAACTGAAAATTGGGAATTTAAGATATTTTAGTGATTTTTCGAGGCAAATAGTGGGGTTGAAAAGCCTTAGAAAAGAGCCTGAAGGGTGACAAAGTGCAAAGCGACTATTATAATTTATAGAGAAAAACGTCTCGAAAGCTGTACACCACAAGAAGCGCTTGAAAGTTTTTTCCAGGGATCACTTTGGTGGTTTCAGAACCCTTTACTGTTCCCTAGATCCGCTCAGAGACGCTCAGACCAGTTAAGGGCCTTCCGAACACTTAAGTGATCCCTAGAACCGCTCAGAAACGCTCAGATCAGTTAAGGGCTTTCCGAACTCTCAAGTGATCCCTAGAGATTCTCAGAGACGTCCAGGCCATTTCAAAGGAGCCGGGACTCTTAAGTGACCCCTAGACTTGCTCAGAAACTTCCAGACCCATTTAGGGCCGTCAGAACTCTTAAGTGACCACTGGAACTTCTCAGAAATGTCCATGCGAGTCCGGTTTTCCTGGAGTATCTTTCAGTTAGAGGTCGATTCTCTTTGGAGCGCACTTGTGAAAAAAAAAAAATCAAAAGTGACGTCATTCGTATCCACTCGAGAAAATGTTGTTTTTTTTGTATTCGTTGCAACTTTTTAACTTTTGAATGTGACTTATAACTGCAAACTTGCGTAGTACGTCAATTGTGGTAAACTGAATGACGTCATTTGATTTCAGTGACGTCATATTCTTTATGAATACGTTTCTATTTTATAATGTCAGAAGCTTCTTTCTTTCAAATTTGTGATCTCAACATATGATCTATAAGTGAAAAATGTGCTCTAAAGTCCATTTAATGGCTTCCAAACTCGACCGATCCAACATTTACCCCAACGTCTGTCTCTCAAGACATTCAAAATAAAAAAGACAAGGGAAAAAATGGCGCACGACTCCACGCGGAGTCATAAAACCGCCATTTTTCAAGTACATTCACTCAAGTTTGAGGAATTTGTTTGGGAAAAAAGGTCTGGGTTTCCAGCGATTCGAGTTTTAGGAAAAGTACGAGGTTGGGAGGGAAAGCTGGCTCAAAAATCGAGAACATTGAATTTTCGGAAATTATATTCGATGGGAAAGTTATGATCTATCTATCCGGGGATGTTTCGAGAAACAAGGGCGAAAAAAATAATTTTTTTCAAGAAAAAAATTTTTTTAAAAAAATTAGTAATCTGTAGAGTTCAAGTTAAAGAAGCGTCCATTAGGTAAAAAAAAATCCTGGAGCGAAAATTTTTTTTTGTTCGAAATGTTTATGCTGCTCGGCGCTGAGCCATTCTAAATGCGACCAGGGATGAAAAAACTTTTTTTCGAATCAGCTTCAATACTGACCTCTTGAGCCAAACCGGAGCCCCAAGACAGCGGTGAATAAACTATGAAAACCAATTTTGAAACTAAAAAAAAGGTCCGGAGCCCCAAGACAGCGGTGAATGAACTGTCATTAAAAAAAGTACCGGAGCCCTAAGACAGCGGTGAATGAACTATGAATACCATGTTTGAAACTAAAAAAAGCACCGGAGCCCCAAGACAGCGGTGAATGAACCATCATACAAAAAAAGCACCGGAATCTTTAAACAGAAGTAAATTAACTATGGATACCACTTTTAGGAAAAAAAAAGTACCGTGGCCCTAAGACAGTGATGAATGGACTATCTAACAAAATAAGCACCGGACTTCTAAGACAGCGATGGATGAGCTATAGCTACCGATTTTGAAACTAGAAAATAGTACCGGAGTCCTGAGACAGCATTGAATGAAATATCATACAAAAAAAGTACCGGACTCCTAAGACAGAGGTTAACGAACTATAGACATCAATTTTGATTTTTTAAAGTACCTGGAGGTGATGGCAGGGCTTTCTCGATCATCATGCTGTTCTTCTCCCTTTTCTGCCTTCTCCGGAGCTTGATCTGGTCGGCCATCAGCTTTTGTCGCTCCACAACAACCTGCAAACCGCAACGCATGGGTGGGATGCCGCGTCGCGGCTCACCTGACACTTGGGACAGCCGCATTCCTTGAAGGGACATGACCTTTTGTGGCCTTTCAGACGGTTGACGACGTTGTGTTGGGCGCATCTTTGACAGTTTGGTCGGCGTTCTGAAAAGATAAAAATCTTCATTTTGAAACCATCTGGCCGCATTCAAAATGGATTGCGTCGCGTATGCGGATCGTTTTCCAGCCCCAAAACTTGGTTTCTAATGAGCCATTCCAAATGCGACCATTTTGCTTCAATTTTAGAAAGATAGAGTAGAAAACCTAAAGAAGCTTCTTTCAATCCAAATATGTAGAAAGCTCTTTCAAGCTTCAAAGTTTGAAAAAAGGCTTTGCTTCAAAATGCAACCGACCAAAAACGGTTTGCGCGAGATCATGTATTGAGCTCTTATTTTTCGTCTCATTTTATGTCTATAAAGTAAGCAACTAAAAAATTTTCATCAAAAACTAAGTTTACATAGAAATAAGGTCAGAAAGCCACGTATTGCTTTGCTTTGAAGTGCAACCGACCAAAAACGGTTTGCGCTAGATCAAGCCCTGAACTCTTATCTTCCGTCTCCCATTTTGTTTAAAAGATACCTGAGAGACTAGAAACAACATCTACATGGGAATGAGGTAGGAAAGTCCCTTTTTACTTTGATATTCACTGCAACCGACCAAAAACGGTTTGCGCTAGATCAAGCACAGAACTCTTATTCTCTGTATCCTGTCCTGTTTATGAGATACCTAATTAACGGGAAACGACATATTACATGGGAATGAGGTATGATATTCCCTTTTTACTTTGATATTCACTGCAACCGACCAAAAACGGTTTGCGCTAGATCAAGCACAGAACTCTTATTCTCTGTATCCTGTCCTGTTTATGAGATACCTAATTAACGGGAAACGACATATTACATGGGAATGAGGTATGATATTCCCTTTTTACTTTGATATTCACTGCAACCGACCAAAAACGGTTCGCGCAGCATCATAATTTTTTCCGTGTTTTAATGAAATTTTGCTCTTCAACTTTTTTCACCAAGGAATACTGTAGTCCTCCCTCACTTCAAAACACAGGAAAGCACATTTTGGAACATGCCGAAAGCGATACGAAGCAGGGCGGGCGCCTCATAAAACCCGTTCATCCAGGCGTTTCTTCGCGGCTCTCAAAGTGTCATTCGGATGAGAAAAGAACGAAAAAAAAGATGGACAAGAACGCCACACGACCACAGCTGTTCTTTACGGTGTTCTCTCGTTAAATTTATTTCATTTTGGGGAGGCCTACGCCGTTCTTTCCAAGCCCCCCACGAAACAAACGTCTCATTGTCTTTGGCGCCTATTAGTAAAAAGGACGCGTTCCTTTGAGAGAAAAATGGTGTTTCTTGAAGTAATTTGCAGATAGTCCATTCAATAGGCGCTCAAACAGAAACTGCCTCAACAAGTCGAATTTTGAGATTCCTAAAGAGGTTCTTTAAAAGAAAAATGAAGCAATTTGCAGATAGTCCATTCATAAAGCGCTCAAACAGAAACTGTCTCAATAAAGCAAATATGAGATTCGTAGACGTTTTTTTAAGATAAGAATGAAGCATCTTGGTGATAGTCCATTCATGAAGCGCTCAATCTTGGATATTGTGAACTTCAAGTTTCAACACATTACTATTTCAAAAAAAAATATCAAAACCCATTCGGCTCATTTTTCTCTTGATGTATGAATTTTTGGTATAATTTGTAGATAGTCCGATCATAAAGCGCTCAAACCTAAATACTTCTAAAAATCGAGTTCCGAGATTCCAAATTACAGTTCAAACTCCCATTGTTTTCGGCGTTTCTTTTTGAAGGAAAATTAAGTTTTTCGAAGCAGTTATTGGATAGTGCATTCATTAAAGGCATAGGTGCAGTAAAAAACGGGGTTTCAGGTGAAAGCAAAATCTTATATAGTTTTTCATTGCGAATCGAACTGTACTATCAAAAAATGTCAAAAGAAAACTTTGGAAAGAAGTGTCAATGATCGAAAAGGAAATTCGGCTCTGAAATATTTATTAACAACAACTTTAACGATCAAGATAATTTACGAATTTGATTTAGGAGCTCAATTTTCACAAGTTCTTATTTTTTTTTACTTTGATAAAAAGACTAAAATCAGAATTTGTAGTCTACTGTATTCCTGGAAATCAAAAAAAGCTTAGAATGGGGAAAATTTTTATGAAAGGTCCTTTTATTGAAAATCATGCGTCTGAAGCTTGTTTCAGCGGAGTTTCGTACAAAAATACGGTAAAAAATAGTCAGGCTATATCTCATTTTCGTTCAATAACCGTGCATGTTCTCGGACGCAAACTAAATTTTTTCTTTTTATCGCGCAGATCGGCTCGCGTTGCGGCTCGCGTTGGGGCTTGCGTTGCGGCTTGCGTTGCTACTCGCGTTGCGGTTTGCGTTGCGGCTCGCTTCAAGGTTCCTTATTAGTACTGAGGCCTTTTATAGCCTTTTATGGGCTTCGTCGCGGTCACCTCACCTTTAGGCTTGCTCGAAAAGTCATCCCGATCCTCACAGCCACTCTCTCCGGTTGTCTCCGACGTGCACTCGCTTCCGTCGCTTCTGATGATAATTTGTGACGTCATCGACGAGGATGACGTCGTCGACGAAGCCGCCGAGCCGTCGATCTGCATCAGCCGCGAGTTCAGCTCACGACGTCGTTCTACCATCTGAAGTTGTAACATGAGCAATAGATCATATAATAAAAGCAATGAACTAACAATGCAGTCGGAACACTGGCACATCCTATAGAGACAGTGGAGCTTGTGATTCTTGCGCTTCTCTCGAAGACCGTGGTTTAGACATCTAAAAATTACATCATGGTGTGACTGGTGAAGTCCTTGGTCATGGAAAGGAGGTCGCGGGTTCGAATCCTGGTCAGGGCGAAGATATTTTTGACATTTCTTATTTCTCGGAAAAACTTGTCTAACTGCTTGGGAAGCTTGAAAATATGCTTTTGTTATTCCTAAATGAATGCAGAAAACTTCCTAGAAGCATGAATTTGAGCCTCAGTTCAATTGGGGGGGTCGCTGGTTCGATCCCGCTCCAGGAAAACTTTTTTTGCCATTTTTTACTTGATAATTTTTCACCAGTTAGAGATGAATTTTTGAGCCAAAATGGGAAAAATACTCATTTTTTCGCTATCTTCCGACTCTAGCAGTGTAGTTGACCCAATAGTTGATACCCTGGTTCAACTCCTTTTCCCGTTTTTGCCGAAAAATCCCAACCTCTGGCAGTAGTAGACGCGTTTTTCGCCGAACAGCTCGGGAAGGATTTCCTCGATGTTCATCTCCAACTTCTTGAATTTTCCGCTTTTTTATCTTCTTCTTTCTTCGATCTGAAAATATAGTATATTTTGTAAAGCTGGATATAACAAAAACTAAATCGATGGGAAACCCCGTCAAAGAGCAATGATTGAAACAGGAATGTCATCAAAAATCCAAATTAGTCCGATCAAATTTTAGGAATCAAAGTTTTGATTGAAAATCTGCACGGATATTCGAAAACTCGAAAAAAACAAAAATGTTTTTAAACTTGAATAAAATCTTCAAAAATCAAAAATTTTAATAAAAATAAAAAAACACTGAATTTTTTTGCTCCAACTGACCCTGCCCAAAAACCCGAAAAATTTTACCTCAAAAATCTCAATTTTCCCATCGGAAAAAAATGCTCAAAAAGGCCGCGAAACGGCGCGCAAAAAAATTGCAATAAAACAGGCGCGGCGCCTGATTTTAATACCGGAATAAAATAATAAAAATATATGGTATCGTCGAGGTTTCATATACGGCTTTTTATAGTTAGCGGCGCCTTTTTATCGCTTTTCGAATTTAATTGTTTTTTTCAGGCAAAAAAAGGTGAAAAAAATACAGATTTTTATGTTTTTTTTTGTACTGGATTACGGTAGGATGTAAAAATGAAATAAAGTTTTTTTATTCGGAAATATTTTTTTGGAGAGTTGATAGAATGCTTAAAAATTGCTGAGAAAACAAAAATGAGGAAAAATGAACAAAAAAGCAAAGCCATTCCAAATGCGGCCAAGAACTTTTAATAAGTTGACAAAAAATTAATAAAAGCAGAAATTTTCAGTTCTGAATTAGATACATTTGCAAACTCAGAATCTCCATAATGAAAAAAGGAGAATACACGAATGAAAGATTGCTTGGTTATTAGAAATTTGAGAAACAGGAAGGTTATGGGAAACCGCCCCTCAATTCGAAGGATCAGAGAGATTTTCAAAATATGAGTCCTGGAGCGATTGATTTATATTAGGCAGGGAAAAATCAATTTCACAGTGATACAGAAACTTTAACTCCCCTTTCGAAAATATTTGAACTGTTCACCTTTTTTTCTTCTCTTCCCACAAACCTCTACATAAACCTCTCAAAAAAAAGCCCAAATCGTGTCGATTTCCGTTGCGTTGGCTCGCCTCATGCGCCTTTAATTAGGGTTTCGCGGCGATTTATTGGGTCGGGAAAGTCGCAGTCAATTTGGGAGTGAGAGCTCGCCGGTCTTTTCTTTTTGCTCGAACATGGGAAAATCGTCTTTCCGATGTTATTTTGACTTTAGATAGAGTAGGTGACGGCTGAGAAAGAATTTTAAAAAGTTAATAGAAATAAGCTTCTAGATAGCTCTACTGTTTCAAACAGGATATTTGAAAAATATGTAGAAGTTTCTAGATGGTAATACTGTTTCAAACAGGATATTTTTAAAAAAATATGCGCTTCAGAAATAATTGTATGACTGCACGAACTCTATATGAAACACCACGTTATAGAAAAAAATCTTTTTGAATCTTTATCAAAATTAGTTTTTCCTAAAATTTAGAAGTCACAATTATATTTATTGAAATCAGCAGAATAGCATGAGAATTGGAGAGAGCCAGGTTTTTTTGAGTTTTTCAATTCAAAAAATGAGTGAGATGAAAAAATTGACTAAGAAAATATTCGAAAACAATTACAGAAAACATCCATTAGCAGAGAAAGTTGCTCAATCCATCATGATATCCATAGCTCAGTGGTTAAAGTTCTCGAACGGAAATCTAAGGGTCGCGAGTTCGAATCCTCAGCGAAAAAAAAAATCCAGAGAAAAGGCAGAGATTACGTTTTTTTTTTTCGAAACTCTCGAGATTCTTAGAAATTTAATCTCTCGTTTGCAGCATACTCGCCAGAAACAAACTAAAAAAAGATCCTTTTATAAAAACTATAAAATATAGCGTAGTGGATAGTGTTCTTAACTATACGTTTAATAGTCAAAAGTTCAATCAAGACCCAGGTTTGCAATAGGAAAAATATAACTAAAGTTTTTTTCAAATATATTTTTGCAACGGAAAAAAACGCTATTTAGACTCACTCCTTATCAAGAAGCGAAAACCGTTTTTGGTCGGTTGCAAGCCATTTTTCTCTGTAGAAGCACACCTGGATTAAAAAAATCATAACCTTGTGAATAGTGATAATATCTATTAACTAATAGTCACAAGTTTGATCCCTAATTCTGCTTTCAAAAAAAATGCAACTAAAAGTTGAGAAGAGACTTTATTCTATGGAGAAGCTATCTCTACAGACGGGAGGCATATGTTAAACTATAAAATAAAACAATAGCCTAGTATATAGTGATCTTAAACATAGATTGATGATCACAAGTTCGACCCCCACCCCTGTTTGCAACAAAAAATAGTAGGTGAAAATCGGCACTAATTCATTTTAACGAAAAAGCTTCATTTGGAAGATTACGCTATACCAAAAAGCGAAAACCGTTTTTTGTCGGTTGCATGTCATTATAATCCACATTTGCAACACAAAATTGTAACAGAAACATTTAACAAAAATCAAAAAACCAAAAAAGCCCTCAAAAGTTGGAGCACGAGCTGGAGCACTACGATAGTTCGTGCTCCGAGCTCCTCCCCCGGCAGCCGATTGGACCTGGTCATGAGACATCAAGTAGGCGTGGCTTCGTTTGCAATGGAGCGCAAAAGAAGAAAAAAAACCGAGACAAGATCTTTATGATGATTCGGCAAATTCAAACAAATCCAACCCAACATAATTCGATCTGCATGGGGATACGGTAGTTTTATAGATGGCTTTGGTTTTTCAAATTTTTGGGCTTTCGATGAGATTAGTTATACTCGTAGGAAAGCGGGTAAGAGTTATAATCCATACTGAGACTATAAGGGAATTTAAAAAGTTATGGTCGCACTTGGAATGGCTAGAAGCGCAGTTCAGAAGCTCACTTTATGCCGAGGGGCGGAATTCGTTTTCAGTCGGTCGCAAGACGATATGTTAGATAATGGCAATTCATGAAAATTTTTTAAAGCCCGGGTCGCATTTCAAATGAACAGAAACGTCATTTAAAAGCATGCTGAATGATTTATGCCAACTGCATGCGAAAGTCGTTTTTGGTCGGTTGCAAGCCACTTAATGAACATTTATGAGAGTTCAAAAAGTACTGCTCGCACTAGGAATAGTCAGAAGTTCCATCTCAAAGCTCAGTCAGTCACTTCAAGCGGAAATCGATTTTTGTCGGATGCAAGCAACCAACTGAGTTCAAGCTGAGGAGATCGTACTATGTTAAGTTTGGAGAAAATCTCGACCGAAAAAAATCTGTCGAATCCTCGCGCAACAGGTGTTCCATTCATTTCTCGTACCCAAGTTGAAAAGAAAAAGGACCCGAAAAAAAGCGACAAAAGGTCCGAAACTTTTTTTGCGCAACAACTGCGCTCCGCCGACAACAGCTGCACTTTCAGAAATTTCATAATTTTTAGGTTCACTTGGAAATTTGGAAGGACAAAAGTTCGAAGAGGATTTTGAACATTTATGAAAGAGGAAAAGTAGCTCCGTATCAGATGACAATTGGCTGCGCATCACCTCAACCATCAGCAACCAAAGAAAAATTTTTCTTGAGATGGCAAAATATTTTTTTCTAATGAAAAACATGCATATATTATTTTCCCTGCGTATCGGCTCAAAAACGGCTCCGTATCAACGTCCTATTAGCCGGACATCGGCTTAGTTAAAAAAATCTTCGAAATTGTTTTTGGTGTGTATAGAACTCTTTCGGCTCAGTATCCCTTATTCAGTGAAAAGCTGATGCGCAGGTAAATGTGCTCATGGACATTCGACTCCCGGAAAAAAATGTGAGAAGGCTTTTCACTATGTAACAGCTGTAATCGGCTCCGTATCCATCTTCAATCAAAAGCTGATGCGCAGGCAAATATGCTCTGGAACATTGGGTTCCACCCAAAAAATAAGAGAGATTTTATTTCACTGCGTATTTGCTGAAATCGGCTCCGTATCCCTCTCCAATCAAAAGCTGATGCGCAGGCGAACTTCTTTTGGACATTCGGTTCCCGGAAAAATGTGAGAACTTTATTTCACAGCGCTTCAATTGAAATCTGCTCCGTATCCTTTGTACACTTAATAGTTGATGCGCAGGTAAATATGCTTTCTGAACATTCGATACCATGTTTTTTCCCAAAAAATTGTAAGATTTGTCCTTGGGCATGTGCCTGGGCATCAGGCGACAGCAGGTGAACGGATAGGCCGAAAATAAACCGTTTTCGTAGGGGTGGCAGATCAAAACGCGCCTTTTTATGAGCACCTCCGTCTCATTTTTTTGGACTATATGAATCGGAGACCTTGAAATTTCCTTTCCATCCGATTTTCATTCGTTTCAACTTGTTGTCATGAAGTTGCTATCCAAAAAAGGGTTTAAGTTGATGCGCAGTGAAATTAGAGGTTAGAAATGGAATCGAAGATGGCTGATAAGAAATTTTTTTTGTATTTTCAAGGAAACAGGATGTAATGATAGAATAGTTGATTCAGAAGGAGACCGAGTTGATGCGCAGCGAAATTTCAATTGATACGGAGCCAAAAGATGAGAAAGAGGTTATGCTTTTTGAGTCTTTATTAAAATGTAGAAAAAGTTTTTTTTGTGAAAACCAAGGGATTTCAGTTGATGCGCAGTCAAATTATGATGATACTGAGCCAATCATCATGTAGAAAGCTTTATCAAAAACGAGAGAAAAAGATGAAAAAATGTATTTCATATTGCAGTAGCATGGAAAAGATAAAAAAGAATTTTTTTTGAATAAATATTAGTTAGAAAGGTTCTGAACAGCTCGAAATTGCTTGAAATTGAGTGAAAAACCCGTTTCCAAGTGTTGAAAATCAAAAAGAACTTTTAGAAAAACCCTCAAAAACATGATCTCAAGGAAATTCCAAAAATATGCTATTTGAAGAAAATTCCAGGTCTCTAAAACCTGAAATGAGACCCAATTTGTGACTCACAGTAACT